CATACACTCTTGGCTGCGCTGCCTGCATCCTGCCGCACGGACACATGCATGCGCGAGCACCCACCAGCGCAGCACCACACACACACACACACGCACATGTGCACACACACACGCACATGCGCACACACACACACGCACACACACACACGCACATGCGCACACGCACACACACACACACACACACATGCAAGCTCACACAGGCAGGTATTAGTCACTTTGGGAACGAGGAGCCCCCGTGTCTTTCGGCACAAAAGGCTTCCTAATGAACCCCGTCTCCCCGCATGACATCATAACCAGCCGGCGTTACGGCTTCAGTCCCAGATACCTGCGGCTCTTATGTGAAGAGCCCCGACCTTTAATCAAAGACCAGAAGTGGGGATAGACGGCTTTTTAATAGACCCTGGCTTGTTGTGCCGCTGTCCTTAGCCGCAACCTCCCTCAGAATAACCGCCGCCACCTGCTTCGGGCGACCTTTGACCTCTGACCGACTGCCAATCAGAGATCAACGGGGCCGATGCCACTGATGGACAGGGCATGCCGTGGCACGGACTGGGGCCATATAAGGAGTGGCGCAGTCATCCGATTTTCACATTTGGGGTGTGTGAGGTAAGAGGTGTGTGTGCGGAGGGAGGTGCTAATTGCGACAGCTCGAAGTGGCACCACTAATTTTGTCACAAACGCAGAGCGGGTCCCCAGAGTGTTAAGTGCTTGTTTGTGACTGGAGGCGTGATTCTGTTCCACTCCAGAACCGGACGCGGGATCCCGCAGAGTCTCCTGACGGGTGACGGATGTGCTGTGATTGTCGGGACGGGACTCGGATGCTGTGGAAATTAGCCTGACGTATCGGGGACGAATCCGGTCCAGTGGACTTTACCGTCACAGCGTCCATATACTGGCAGGGTCGTCGCGGGGACCCCCACATCGTTATTGGGCGAGACGAGTCGTGGGGGGCAGAAATCAAACCATTTGGAGGAGGCCAAGGTCACATATCAGGATATACAGCGGCGCGGAATAGCGTTCCCCCAGGAACACAGTGCAGCTTGCAGTCAGCAGTGATGGAGGGGGCTTACAGTGCAAAACACAGGACAGTGTGAAACGGGGGGCTGGACCCAAGGGTTTATATACAGTACAAAGTGCAGTGTGTGCATAAACAATAAATGCAGCAGCAAAGGGTGGAACAAACCGAAACACTACAGCCAAGTAGGAAGAGAGTGTTAGTGGGGTGACACGTCTCACTAAGCCTTGTAGAGATCATCTGGGGCCTGCTTTGCGTTCTGGCTGCTGTTGTGGGTGGTGGGGGTGTGCGTTGTGTATGGAACGTTACCCGAGGCCAATTTTTTGTTGTTTATTTCATTGCATGGGACACAGAAGTCTCTCAGAATCCTGCACAAATACTCCGAACTCCTTCTGGAATGTTCTCTCCGGCTTAAACACTGCATGCCCTGGTCCTCTTGAGCAGGCACAGGACAGTAAGATGTATGACCGTAGGTCCGCGGGGCTCAGGATCGATATATAAAGGTATTGTTGTTGTTGCACTGTGGCAAAGCACAACCCATAGGCCCTCCGGTGACCCCTCATGTCAGCCTGGTCCGTGTGGCTGTTCCCACACACTGTTCTCACGTCGTATCCCACGGACTCCCTCTATTATTCGGTCAGTCTGAGGAATTCCATTTGTCATTCTATTGTTAGTCTGGAGAGTCTTTCTTTGGAATTTTAAGTACCCTCTCCGGAGGGATGGAGGATATCCACTGCAGACCCCTTAATTTGAAGTTCCTCGTGAATTTCCCCGACAGGAACCCGCCCCCCCTGCCCGCCCCAGCGTCAGCTAATGCTAAAAATCCAGTTAGGGCTTGTGGTACGTGCCATGCCGCTTCTGATCAAACTGCCCTCTCTTTGCGATGTGCTCCCCACCCCCCGACCCCCCAGGACTCCAAGCGGGTCCTCAGGTCCAATGAATATGCGCTGCCGCCTGGTGGACTGATGGAAACCGACCTGGAGCTCACGTTCTCTCTGCAGGTGGGCGGGGCTTCGGGGAGGGAGGCGGTCACCATTGGTGATTTGCCCATCGATCTGGCCTCTCATTGGCTCTTTTGTCTCACCCGTCGGCAGTACCCTCACTTCCTCAAGAGAGACACTAACCGGCTCCAGATCATGCTACAGCGACGCAAGCGGTACAAGAACCGCACCATCTTGGGTCACAAGACCCTGGCTGTGGGCGTCATCAACATGGCTGAGGTAAGTCAGTGACGGTTATGACAACGATGGCGATAAAATTCCAGAATTTCCCCCTGGGATCCATGAAGTCCATCTTAATGTTTAAGATTGGTTAGGGACTGGGACGATTCTAGGATTTCATAAGGGGGGGGGGGGGCATTATTGGGGCCAACCTTATCATTAACCAATGATACGTTTTGAATTGGTGAGTGACAGAGGAGGGGGTTTTCTGGGGTCTATCAGCTTTCAGCTCCTGCCCATGTGGCCCCGCCCCTGGTCTGAGAGGACCCCAACCCCAAAAAAAATAGCCACTAGATGCTGAAAGGCCTTTCCTGAATGATGGCTTGAGCATATTGAGTTTGTGTCTCTCAGCTGCTCATTCCTTTCCTCTCGTCATTCTTTTCTGACCTGTTTTTGTGTGACGGACTGAAATACGCTTGAATAGCCAGCCAGCAGCTGCCCCCCCCCCCCAAACCCTACATTAAGGCCATCAAGCCGTCGCATCTGTTTACACAGCGATCATCTGTCCCGTGCTCATGCTGCAAAATACAGGCGTGTTCAAACCCCGCCGGTCCTCGTTGGCCGTGCCGTGCCGCCTCTCCCAGCCTGAGCTTCAGCGCCGCAGGCGAGTCGCGTTCGCAGAGCAAACGGGTATAAAAGACTCAGATTATCGACCATCTGGCCCAGCAGCACTCAGCTCCCCGTGACAGCCAGGCCTGCTGTCCTGAAGCAGAGGGAATATTGATGCATTCTTGATTTTTTTTATATATATATATCTTTATCCAATTCTGCAGATCTAAATGACGTCTTCTGAGATGCAATCCCGCGTTGGCCTTTACCAAATCCCTTAATTTGATTTTGTTTTTTTCCCTCATAGGGATAATAAAAACATTTTGCTGTTTTTTTTTTTTTGTTTGTTTCTTACACTAAGCAGGCAGTTTGTGGGAAGCTGAAGGAACAAGTCTAACCAATTTAAAAGAACCAGTAGTTCTAAAATTACTAGAAAGTACTAGAACACTAGACCTGTCACGTAGGCTTGGGTTGATCAGCATACTTACTAGAAAAATGAACAGCATTGAATTACACACAAAAGCATACAGTTTTAAGCTGCTCAGTCCAGACTTCGCTGCCCGGTAACCTGGCAGAGCAGCTCGGAACTTTCTGGAAGCCCACTCTGCTCCTGCGCCTGTCCTGCTAGGCGCTCCACCTGCAGGGCCCGACATCGCGAAACCCTGTTCTCCGCTGTGTTTTTCTTAGCTCCTGCAGACAAAACTTCAGCGTCTCAGACATTTGAGGCCGTGTCTGCCTCTTTTATTCAGGTTCACAGTGAGCGGGTGATATTAAATGCACAGCATTGCTATGTTTGGGGCCTGTTGCTAGCAGACTGTGGGTTCGGCCATGCCAAGGGTGACGGTGGATTGAGCTGGCGAGCCGAAGGAACCAGGGATGCAGAAAAGGACTTGATATTAATGAAAACCGAAAGCACAGATGACATGGAGTTCAAACTAGATGCTGTCGGAATGCCCCCCCCCCCTATTGAATCCTCCAACCTCCACCTCGGTACACACACTCTCTACCTCTCCAAAAAAATATTAGAAGCCCAACGTCTTGTGACTTTTCTCAAAATCACATTCACCATATCTGCGTCTGTGTCTGTCCTTTCTTGTGCCACCACTATGTGGCGCTGCTTCAATTTCGGTGTGATTTTGTCTCAATACAAAAAAAAATTTAAGCCAAGGCCGAGACCCAACAGGTCGTCCACTGTTAAGCGAAAGCGACTCTCGTGATTTTTTTTTACGATTGCGGCGTACTGCGACAGACCTCTGTGTTCTCTTCCCGGGACGCGCATGGGACAGAAGGGAGGGAATCCAGTGTGGTGACATCGGCCCCATGTGACTCCCCCTGTCTTTAGGTGATGCAGCATCCGACAGAGAGCAGTCAGATCCTGGGTCTCTATAGCAACGCGAAGGAGGCGCCCATGCGGGCAGCTGAGATCAGCGTGCAGTCGCTGTCCAGCCAGCCAATCGACCACGAGGACGGCAGCGTGCAGGCGGGGGCCAAGGCCAAGGCCTCAGGTGGCTGCTCCGCCCGTAACCATAGTAATGTTACACCCGCCCCTCCCCCACAGCTCTGCGTCCAGCCGGCTGACATCATCGTAGCCATGCTGTACCGTGACAGCCGTAACGCACTGCAGGGGGAGGGGGGCATGTGATTAAATTACCAGCAGGCTCATTCTGTGTGGCACTCACTCACACACACACACACACACACACACACACACTCCTCTGCCCCATACTGCTCTGCCATCACCAATATGAAATACGTGGAGATAAAGATCTTTATCTCAGTTGGAGATGTTCCCCTCCATTATGTCCTGGTACTGACATATCAGTTAGGAGATCCGCCCCCCCCCCCCCCCCCCCACAAGCTGGCCATGTTCGCCAGGGGGGAAATTCATAATGAAACAGAAATTAAATCATCCGCTGTCGAAGCATATTACTTCATGCCACGCCAGGTCGATTGGGAGCGTCTGTGATCACACACATACTCTCCATTAAACCGTGTATTTCAGTCCTGATGCGGTTTTTCTGACACCGTTTTGGAAAAAAGTGAAGGTCATACTCAGCGGCGGCGTTTCAGCTCGAACCCGGGTCGCAGTTAGACCTCAACTCAACCACAAGCCTGACCAGCATCATTGACCAAGCACTAAACTCAGGGTCTTCAGATCAACAGCCTGAGGGTTAATCAACATGATCTGAGGGTTAATTTTAGCACCGGTCAGGAGTTTCTGATTATCTGATTATCTCCTCAGACCGCTCTCCCGACATGGACAACTACTCGGAGGAAGATGATGATAGCTACTCGTCGGAGCAGGAGGCCAGCGACGATGCCGCTCACGGACAGGTGGGGGCCGGTTTTGCCCCTGGGGTGGCGTCCATGCATTCGTACGCACATGCAAATGCTCACTGTCAGTCACTCGTGATTTGACATTCAGTCTGAGTCTTACTGCTTCCTCATTGGCTCCCACAGGTAATCTGACCAATCAAGGGTTCTGATGTCTTGTTTCGCTCTCATTATAGTAAGAGGTATAATTCAGCACCGTTCATATTTACTGTATTGATAATGAACCTCGTTTTCCGATACCCAAGAGATATACAGTAGTAATTAAAAGGACTGTTTGCTTGTACGACATATGATCAGATAATTTAATAATAAGTTTGCTAACCTGTCAGAGTGCTGGACTAAAGTACGGCTGTAGGAGGAATGTGGTTTGTGTATCAGATGCAGGCTAATCTGTGTAAATTGGCCGCTTCCCCCAGGAGAGATCATGTTACCTACGGGTCAATGAGTCAGTCGATCGGGTTTCATTTAATAAAGCATGTGTTTACTAACAGATCAGCGTAAATCCCTGTGCAGGTATACATCAGCAGAGACAAAGCGGGCAGCGCTGTAAACGATCCCCAGGCTGCCCCCGGCTCTCGGCGCGTGTTTCTATCGGGTGGCTTTTACGCGAATGTCAACACGTGCGTTTGAAGGAGGCGGCATGTTCCAGAGAGCCCCGCCCACCTGACCGACCTCCGTTTCAGGACCTCGATGATGAAGACGACGAGGTGCGCAAGCCAAAGAAATCGCGGAGGAAGATGGTGCGGACCACCTCCATGACCAGGGTACGGAGATATCATCCTGCTGGAATACTGAGGGAATTTTCTGGAAGCTGCTGTAATGGGCCTTTTATTTCTGACAGCCTCACTTCAAGGGGACCAAGGGGGGGTTAATATAACCTCCCCCCACCACCATACCTCTGACCTGCTTCTGATTTCCTGCTCTCTCTCCACAGCAACCCAACTTCAAGCAGAAGTTTGTGGCGTTGCTGAAGAGGTTCAAAGTGACAGACGAGGTGAATGACACCCCGTGACATGGGGGGGCGCTATAAGTGGGTAGCATGTGAACACCATCTTTGTCAGTTCACAGCCTGGTGGGGAGGGGGGGGGGCTCCCACTAGCTGAGTCTGACCAAACACTAAACTTACAAAATACAAAAAGTTACATAAAAGGTACGAATAAAGATGCACGGCTCAGAGCTGTGTGTGATTTTTAAGGTTCACTAAACCGTCATTATTATTAGTCGGAATGAAGTTTTAGTGCAGGAGCCAGTGACTGATGTTCAGGCTAAGTGGAGCAACCGGATGAAACTAGTTTCATCCAACTAGAAGCTGCTGTGACACACGCCGTTGTTTCCCGCCGAGCCCAGGTGGCCCGCGGACACCCGCTGCCTGTCGGGACGTCCAGCATCTGTCACCTCTGGGTGACATCATGGCGCAGGAATCTGCCGGGCTGCAGGGATTCGCGTCGCCAGCGTTCCTCCCGGTTTCGTGTTGCATGTCGCGGCTGTGACTCAGAGGTGCTCCCTGCGTGTCGCGATGGAGCGGCCATTGCCCAGGCTGCCGGGCTCTGCTGCGGGCCGTCTGAGCAACGCGTGTGTCTCTCATTAATAGGATGGGCGGAGGCGGCCCTGAGACGGAGAAGAGGAATGCGGGTCCATCAGGATTGTTCTAAAGCTGACGTGTTTCAGTTGCTGTGCTTTTTAGGGCTGTATGTGGAACACAGGAGAAAGAACATGGACTTCATAACATTTACATTTTATTTATTTGTCAGTCGCTTTTATCCAAAATGATGTACAATTGAGCCAGCAGGGTCAGTCAGATCCTGGAGCAAGTGGGAGTTAAGGGCCTTGATCAGGGCGCTTGACGGTGACGTCACTCTCCTGACCCTGGGATTTGAACCAGCAACCTTCTGATCACAGCCTCCAAACCCGCTGCCGTACCTCCTTGCCATCATTACAGTGTAGGGAAGCTAACTGGAAGCTCTGTGAAGCGTCATTTAGTTCATAGAGACCAGAGGAACTGACCTTACCTGTCACAGGTTCTGGATTCGGACCCAGTGGACCAGACCCAGGAGGTGGAGGAGGACCTGGACCTGCTCTATGACAGCCTGGACAACCAGAGCGACAGTGGGCCGGAGGTGGAGGACACAGAAAGCCTGCTCAGCACGCCCAAACCCAAACTGAAGTAGGCCAACGCCCGGCACTGCAGCCTGACCGAGCACTGCAGGACAGTGGCGACTGTGGGGATAGTGGTGACTATGGGGATGTGGGTGGTGTCTGTGTTGATGTGGGTGGTGACTGTGGGGATAGTGGTGACTATGGGGATGTGGGTGGTGTCTGTGGTGATGTGGGTGGTGTCTGTGGTGATGTGGGTGGTGTCTGTGGTGACTGTAGGGTCTGTGGTGACCGTAGGGACTGTGGGGATGTGGGTGGTGACTGTGGTGATGTGGGTGGTGACTCTGGTGACAGTGGTGACTGTGGGGACTGTGACTCACTGAAGCGTCTTCCAGCTCAGGAAATCCTTTCATGCATTCCCTCCTTCCCTGGGCTCAGGCTCTCAGGCTTTCCTTTGGGTCATTTGTTACACGTTTGCTTGTTTAAACGCATCACTGCCAGGTACCGCTCAGAGTTTGCCGTTTGTTCAGGCGCTGACTGTCTGTTTGTCCCCCAGGCCGTTCTTCGAGGGGATGTCCCACTCCAGCTCCCAGACGGAGATCGGGAGTCTGCACAGCCAGAAGAGTCAGACCCGGGACTTCACCTGCCCTGTGAGTGACACATATCCCCCCCCCCTCCGAGAGACAGGAAGGGGGTTAGAATGGCACAGCCATCCGCTCAACCTTGGGGGGGGGCTGATAGGTAGCTGGGCCATGAGAAATGTGATACCCGTTTTGGGGGCAGGGGACTAGTCCCTCCACAAACCGTGTGTGGCTGATATGGCACTCTGGTGGGGGGGGGGGCTGGGAGCACATTTTCTGGGGTAATAATAATACGATCCCACACCTCCATCTGGCAGGACAGTGATAGGCGGGCAGTGAGGCTAACTGGCAGACACCAAGCCCCCCCCCCGTCATTAGCATCACTTGCCCCAAAAGGGTTCCCTTCCTCACCTTCTATTTATAGTGCTGTTGGGGGGGTGGGCATTGTGTACTTCATCACTGGGCCAAGGCCTCAGGTCTTTTGGATTGAGGCGTGACTCGGTTTGGGTCCCGGGGCCATGTGCGGGCATGACTCGGTAAGGGTCCCGGGGCCATGTGCGGGCGTGACTCGGCAAGGGTCCCGGGGCCATGTGCGGGCGTGACTCGGCAAGGGTCCCGGGGCCATGTGCGGCCGTGACTCGGTAAGGGTCCCGGGGCCATGTGCGGCCGTGACTCGGTAAGGGTCCCGGGGCCATGTGCGGCCGTGACTCGGTAAGGGTCCCGGGGCCATGTGCGGGCGTGACTCGGTAAGGGTCCCGGGGCCTTGCTGCTGGCCTCCTGACAGGAAGCGGGCAGCTGGGCCTGTACACTCTCTGCGTGACCACAGGCGAGCGAGGCAAGACGCCCATCATGGCACTGACTCTAGTAGGACGCGCTAGGAAATGCCTCTTGTGTCTCCTGACCTGCAGGGCGGCGACTTCCTGTCTGCAGAGAAGGGCAAAGCTCCCGGATCCAAGCATCAGGAAGATGATGTCACAGAGACCGCCCCGGGGGTCAGTGGTCCCGCCACTTTGCCCTTTGTCATACCTGTCATGTTCACATCCATTCCATTTGAATACTTCTCTGCGGTATTTGTCTTTCACTCAGATTTTTAAGTCCCTCACAAAATGACTGAATGTTAGTTGGGCTGGTCACAAACACACCTGTCTCCCTCCTGATGAGCAGGATTATGGGGCTGCACCCGCTGATTGTGTTTATCTGTGGTTTGGAGGTGCAAGAAGGGGGCGCGACTTGTCACATGACAGGAGTCAGGTGGTCAGGTGACCAGCAGTGATTAGTGCATCTGTTCCTCATTCTGGAATTCTGCCTCTGTTTGCTTTTGCGTGGTGTCAAACCTATTCCTGTCCTACTTCTCTTACAAAAAAGGAAAACCCTGCACCCAGGGGGCAGCTGCAGATTTTGGGCCCCATGAAAGCATACTGTACTAAGGCCCCAACTAATCTAGTTATTTTCCCAGTGTTGCCCCCTGTCACTCAGGAACCCTTAGAATCACCCCTGGCAGCACCTTCCAGAAACTTCCACTGTCCTTCCAGTCCTGGTTCTGTTTTCCGTCCCTGTGGAGCACGTCCGCTGACCCGGTGTCCGTCTGCAGGGTGTCGAGGACGAGGAGCAGGGCCTGGGGGACGTCAACGCCGACTGGCTGGCCAGCTCCCTAGGCAAGCTCTGCAAGACGGAGTCTCAGAACCACATGTCGCCCAGGTACTGCCCCCGCCCTGCCTCACCCCACCATTCAGACCTGGGTTCAAAAATCCACCCCAGTTCCTGTGGCCCAGAGCAACCAGGAGAAGCATCTGCAAGATGGATGGTTGGATAACCGGCCCACTAATTATGTCTAACTGGGATGGTGGGAAGTCGGTCCAGATCTGCGGTAATTAGCACGGTAATTAGGGAAGGCCCTCGTCTCGATTTACCTCTGAGCCACGTAGATGCATAAACCTGCTCAAATGCGAGCTGTGAGTGGCTTAGCACCCAGTGGATTAAGGCCAGGACACACGGCTGCCGAAAGGGCTCAGCTGGGAGGTTTGGGTGCCTCTCCGACCTTGTTTACCTCAGTTCTGCCTCGGCCCCCCCACCCCCCAAGTGTCATTAGACAGGCCTTGATACTCCCAGACAGCCTCCCCCTAGCAACAGCCAGTCTGCCGGCAACAGACGCGACAGGGCGCCTCTCTCCTCCTGCCATAAGCTGAGGGCCTTGGTGTCCCCCCCCCCCTCTCCAGCAAAACGGAGTACAGGCTCTACCGGCGACCCCGCAGCACCTCCATGAAGGACCGGCAGAACTGCAAAGCCCAGAGCGACCGCACCGGTAGCCTGGACAGCGAGAGCTCCCCAGACTCCAGGCTGAGCACGCAGGTAGGGGCTGCCCACGGCACTGCCTGCACCGTCCAAACCACAGTCTCTCGCTTCCCGGTTATTTAGAACCACGGGCGACTCTTCCGGCCCTCTCTCCTCATCCTGGTGAATTTTTCTTAGTGTATTTACTTGTTTTTTATGGTGCAGTGCTGGCATATTGCTCTAAACTGTGTCTGAGTTGCATCAGGCACTTGGAAAGGCAGCCAAGGGGCCGTTCGGCTCCTCAGAACATTTGGCTGGAAGCTCGAAACAAGAGAGCACATGAAAGCCGTCTTATGGCGCCTCTGTCCAGAGCCGCTCCGGCCGCGCCTCCTTGTCCCTCAGCACCTCTCCTCCCCACCTTGTCTTTAGGTCCCCAGGAAGTCTGTGTACGACCAGCTGAACCAGATCCTGATCTCTGACGAGGGGCTGCCAGAGAGCATCGTCCTCATCAACGTGGTGGACTGGCAGGGCCAGGTGGGTGATGGGGGTGGGGGGGGGGCGAGGACAGGTGTACCACGCGTGGGGCCTGGCGCCGGCTGGCAGGTGGATCCCAGAACAAAGGCCCGAGCTGGGCGAGCATGTGGCTGACAGTGTGTGGTGAGCTCATGCTTTCATAGGGATTCTTTGTGCATCTTCATTACGGGAGAGTGTGTGTGGGGGGGGGAGGACTCCGTTAGGTCCATGTTATTGACGAAAGTGGGGTCCCCCCCCCATTCAGCTGGGCTAACCCTTCTCACCGCTGCCTTCTCAGTTCTTCTTCTGGGGTTGTCTTGACCCTGCAAAGCACATTTTTTCCCGCATGACACTTCTGGACCGATTTATGTTCCCTTGGAATTATGCCAAACCAGGGCCTGAAGCCCCCCCCCCTCTGACAACAGTGAAGCAGGGGGCCTGTGAGACACACCCCAACACCGGAAACTGGGCCCCCGCCATGCGAGTCGCACGACGACCTGCATATGTGTCTCCCCGCCTGTCTGTCAGGCCTCCCCGCCTGTCTGTCAGGCCTCCCTGCTGTCTGGCAGGCCTCCCTGCTGTCTGTCAGGCCTCCCTGCTGTCTGGCAGGCCTCCCTGCTGTCTGTCAGGCCTCCCCGCCTGTCTGTCAGGCCTCCCTGCTGTCTGACCATTTTTGACCCCCTGCTCCACAGCTATATTTTTTGACAGTCAGGGCTTTACATAGACTGATGAAGTTCTCTCTTTCGCTATCTTTTTTACCCTGTCTGTTTCTTACTCTTTCTTTCTGTCTCTTGCTCTCCCTGTCTGTTTGTATCTCTCTTTGTCTCCATCTGTCTGGCTGTCTCTCTCTGTCACTCTCTCTCCCTCTCTCTCTATCACTCTCTCTCCATCTCTCTCTCTGTTTTTCTCTCTCTGTCTCACTCTTTCTGTCTCTGTCTCTCTCTCTGTCTGTCGCTCTTTCTGTCTCTCCCTCTGTCTCTTGGTTCCCGTTTGTATGCTTGTAAGTACTATTTGTCTCTTTCTGTCTCTCTCGCTCTCTCTCTGCCTCTCCATCTCCCTCTCTCTCTGTCTCTCTGTCACACTCTGCTTTCCTGGCTCTCTCTGTCCCTGTTTTGTATGTTTAAAATGTACTATTTGTCTCAGATGCACATTGCTTTGGATAAAAGCGTCTGGTAAATCCACTGAAGTCTCTCTCTCTATCTCTGCCGTCCCCCATCGCAGTTCCTGTCTGAAGTCCTCCACGTGCAGAACCAGCCCATTGTCTCCACGTGCTCCGCCGCAGACATCCAGGCCGCCTTCAACGCCATCGTCACCCGCATCCAGAGATTGTGAGTTCTGGTGGCACAGCGCCACCCCTCCCACTCTCTGTCTTCCGAGCTCGTAGTAAATTAAAGCCCCCAGGGGTGGTGGGGCATATGGTAAACATCTCGTTATTTATTCTGTCTGACCCCACTGGACTCTGAGTTTCAAAGCAAAAAAACCTCTTAGGTTTTTTTCACATCAGGGATTTTAATCTATTCCCTTATGGGGCTTTTCCACTGCCACCAAGAACTGAGCTGTGCCCGAGCCCCAACTGCCCTGACATAGTCCTGCTTACTGGTGATTCCAAAAGTGTGACCAAACCGAGCTGGTTGCGTTATTGCCATTTGATTGGTCAAAATGAGAGATACCAGTGTTCTTCACATGGATTATCTGAAGGAAAAGATGTTAATTCTATATATTACTCATTATTAGTGGTACCGCACATCACAATGTACCGGTTCATTCCCGATAACTCAGAACTTTAAAAAGTGCTACAGGACAGCTGAACGGAACAGATCCATAATGCATATTTATGTAAGCGAATTCTAATTCCACTAGCCTTTGATGCTAACATAACACGGTGGTTCTCACAGACGTGTCAACGGAAATTAGCACATAGTAAATCATGATGTACACCGTGTGAACAGTAAATAAGAGTCTTTTCGGATTTATGTCACTGTCTCTTTCCAAACCCAGCAACACCTTTACTAAGCCGATACTTCTGCAGTGGAAAACCAAAGCAAGCTTGGAACCGCACTGTAACTAGTCTCACTTCACAGTACAGTTCGAAAATGGCTCAGTTCCTGTATGCCAGTGGAAAAGCGCCATTAGGTGCCCTATGGTTCCTCCAATAAGCTCTCTGAGTCTGAAGGCTCTGTCTTAGGATCTATGACTTTAGAATTAAGGCATATCCCAGCACCGCAAACCCAGACCGCAGACCATGCTCATTGCTGCCCCCTTTCCCTGCAGCTGCAACTGCAATGCCCAAACGCCTCCCACGATCAAGGTAGCCGTGGCAGGTGACCAGAGCTACCTCAGCACCATCCTGAGGTTCTTCGTGGAGCAGCTGGCCAACAAAACACCCGACTGGCTGAGCTACATCCGCTTCCTGGTCGTCCCCTTCGGTGAGGGAGGTCTCAGCCAATCAGAGCGCACTTGACTCAAGTACAAGTCGTGATGCTTCTAATGCAGTTTTGCCTTGGTTTCTCACAGGCTCTCACCCGCTGGCTAAACATGTGGCCTCCCTCGATAATCGCTTTAACAGCCTCTTCATGGACACGGCATGGAGGGAGCTGTTCAGCCGGACGGAGCCTCCTATCTCTGGTAGTGAGGCGTGTCGGGGGGCGTTTCTGAGATTATGACCCGGGGGCCATAATTTATACAGAGGGGCCAACCTCACCATTAGCCAATGATATCTTTTGAATCTGTGAATGACAGGGGAGGGGCATTCCAGGAGCCAATCTTCTTTGAGTTGTGTCCGGTGCTCTTGCCTTAGGGACCATCTCAGGTCCTGATTCAGCAGGTTTGTCTCCCCCTCCCCCCCCACCCCACATCCCTGCAGATAACATCGACGTGGCTGGGAGAGTCATCCAGTACCTGGGGGGGGCCAGTGTGTCCCACCAGTTCCCCATCTCTGAGGCCATGCTGACATACAAGCAGAAAAGGTACCCCCCCCCCGGGTGTGTGTGTGTGTGTGTGTGTGTGTGTGTATTCACACTCTCTCTGTCCCTTTGTGTCGTCTGTGTTTCTCTGTAATCGACTCCGTTTCCGTATTTTTCTGTATGTGGCTTGGGTTTGGGGTGGGGGGGTATGGAAGGAAGGAATGCAGCGCTGGAACGGAATGGCAGACTCTCCCCACTCGCACCCCCACCCCGCCCCTGGGATGCACAGCTGTTGTTTGTCTTTACCCCCGGACTCCGTCTGTCTTGCGACTGCCTTGTTTCCTGTCTGCCCCCCCCTGCCCCCCCGCCCAGCTGATCTTCTGAAATATTCATGGAGCCCATGCCTCGTGGCTGCACGACGTCCCGTCTGCTTCCATCCGACTGCCCCTCAGCCGTCTCCTGTCGTCGTTTCCCCAAATCCCCCTCCCCCTCCGTTCAGACGCTGGTGTCACACACGACCTTTGACATTGTCTCCCCTCCATTTTGTTTGCATCCAAAGGAAGAAGAATTTGTATTTAGATTTTTACATCAGGTATCTGACTGTACTTTTGTGACCACCCCCCCCCCCCCCCCCCCCCGTTTGTTCTGTCCCTCCTCACTGTCTATCCCTACCCCCCCACTCCAGCCCACCTCTCCCTCAGTTTGTGCCACTCCAGCCTGCCCAACCATACTCCCTGCCACAGGAAACAGCCCTCAAAGTGAAAGCCTGCATTTCTCACATGTGCCCCCGCCCCCCCCAGAGATGGCGATCACCCAGACAATCCCTCCTCCCTTCATGTTTCCACAGAAACTGTCATCCCTCTGCCTCTGTGTTTATTTAAATTTATTTGCATTTAAGCATATAAATGGGTTTTTTTTAAATGAATGCTAAACATATGTAATAGTCACGTACAGTTTGGCGAAGTTCGGAAGTTTGGGGCATGTTGGTGTTGGCACAACATGTTAGCGTTAGCATGGCATGTTAGCGTCGGCGTGACATGTTAGCGTTAGCATGTCACGTTAGCGTCAGCATGCCATGTTAGCATTAACACGCCAAGTTAGCGTCGACACGCTGTGTTAGCATTAGCACACCATGTTAGCTTCAGCATGCCAAAAATCTCAGCGGTAAGCCACCGGGCGTGGTGCCGATAATCACATCCTGACAGCGGCGCTTCCCCAGATCGGAGGATTTTTGTTTTGCAGGGGCAGGCAGCCTTGCCTTAACCCCGCGTTATGTCACTGATCAGATCTACGCTGGGGTGACAGCATCTGCATGTACCCTGGAGGTGCCCCGTGGATAAGCGTCTAGACGGTGGGCAAGGGGGCAGATGTGGGGGGGGGGGGGGATGGCAGATCTGTCTCCGATGCCGCGGGGGGGGGGGGGGGGGATGGCAGATCTGTCTCCGATGCCGCCCCGGAGGCACAATAATATGGAAGTCAGCTTTACTCGAGCTGCTCTGCCTGGCTGAGGCTGTTTTCAGTGGTACGACAGCGAATCCCTTGTAGTAAAATCCTTCACCTTTATCGCTGTAGCGGGCTGCCTCAGAGGTTTTTCTGCCAACAAGTGCAGTGTTAGCTTGCTTTGTGGATGGAAGATGACCTTTGACCTTGAGCATGAGATCAGGATCACCCTGGCATCCATCTCATTGTGTGTGACCACAAGGTGAATCCCCAAGCCACTGTGTCCCATCAGCACTGATGGACACACCCCATCCCTACAGCGCCCCCCAGTGTCTCCTTGTGAACCTGTCCTGCCCCCCCCTCCCCCACCATTTCCCCAGTCTCAGATGTCCTTTTAATCCCGCCAGAAAGCTGAACTGCCTCCCTCTCTCCTCTTTTCCCAGCCCTGACGAGGACTCCTGCCAGAAGTTTGTGCCATTCATCGGGGTAAGACACGACCCGTGTGTGTGTGTGTGTGTGTGTGTGTGTGTGTGTGTGTGTGTCTGTGCACCTGTCAGTGAGATGCAGGCCACATGTGACTGACAAGATGCAGGAAGCAGACTGACCACTTAGCATTAATTTTTCCTTCTTTTCATAGGTTGTGAAAGTGGGAATCGTGGAACAAAACCTCTCCACGTCAGGTAAGCCTGCCCTCTTCTTGGCTATTGGCCTATTCCTCCACACTCATTATTCATTGGTAATTTCCTGACCAATAGGAGCAGCTTAGGCTTCCACAAATAAGTGTCCACAGCCCCTGAAAGTCCCTGGCTCTGCTTTTGGCTATTTTGGATGAAAGGCAACAGTAACCTGTATGCATCGATATGTGTGTTTCCCCCACAGTGGACTCCGATGAGGCTGTAACTGGGAGCATCAATCCAGTGATGTCCCAGTCCTCCCAGTCAGCTACGCCCTACAGCAAGGAGATGGCCTGCACTCCTCCCCCCTCGCCGTCCGTCTCTGGTACTTTGTCGGGAATGGGGTAAGGCCCATCCGTCGGATTCTCCATGGGGCTTACCTGCCCCCACCAAAAAAGGAACACCACCGTGTTCACTTCTAACCTCTGTCCTTAATCAGTGAACTTTAACTAATGATCACTGGACAAGCTCTACAGGGAAATGTGCAGCCCGGAAATTGGCATAGAGGCTGTGCTAAAGTCATCAGCAGGCCTGCAAAACATGAGCATGCTAAGCTAAGCTAGCTGTGAAACCTGTTCTCAGCCTGTTTCTGACACCATCCGCGTTCCCTTTTGTGGTCTCGCCCTGTCACACAGCTCCCCATGCTCTGGGGGCGAAGTCATGGGGCTCCAGGTGGACTACTGGTCCTGGCCTGGTCTGGAGAAGAAGAAGGAGGGAGAGAAGCGGGACGTGGGAATCAAGAACACGCTCAAGAGCAACTTCCGCTCCCTGCAGGTCAGCCGCCTGCCCAGCGGGGGCGAGCTCACGCCCCCACCCTGCATGTCCATGACCGTGGTCATGAAGGAGAAGAACAAGAAAGGTAGGTCTCCCTCTGCCGGGGGCACCACACTCTGGATGACACCATCACTGTTATGATCATCACAAGCAAAATGACATCACAGTGATATCACAGCCACTGTTGCTAGGGCTCCTGAGATAAAGGGTTGGGGTTTTAAACTGCTCAAAAAAATCAGGAGGGGTTCAGAGAGGCCTCCTTAATTTCACCCCCCACTGATCATGCCCCTCCCCACATAAACATCACTTTATAATTTTACTGTGCCGTTTCCGCCGTAATTTCCCTCAGTGTTTTGATGAGCTGCCAAATGTTTTAAAAGCATCTTAAATGCATTTAAGCTGCTGATGCGTAATTCTAACCGGGACTTAAAAATTACCCATGACAGGATGCTTGCACCATCCCATCTGCCTAGGGGTTAGGTATCACAGGAAAGACCGCTTTGATTAAATTAAGACGGAAACGGGGACGGAGGCCGGTTCCGGAGCTTAATTCCAAAAAGGGGGTTTTATCCAGACCTGCGGAGAAGTCCAGTGTTAATCCCCCTACTGACGGCGGTGGTTATTGCAGTCTTCAGAGATCAGAGGAATCGTCCTCGCGGTGCAGAAAGCTACAGCGGGGTCCATCTGATTCTGCGCGTCCCACCCAATCCCCCTCACATGTGCCGAATGCCTGCACCTGCGCCTCACCTCGCCCCCACCGTGTCCCTCATGTCCCCCCACCTGTCCTTCCCTCCTGCAGTAATATTCCTCAGCAAGAAGCCCAAGGAGAAAGACCTGGACTCGAAAAGCCAGGTGATCGATGGCATCAGCAGGTTGATTTGCACCGCCAAGCACCAGCACACCATGCTGAGAGGTAAACAGCCCTCTGCGCATCATTTAAGGTTGTTCTGAATGGGAATCTACTACCATCTAGTGGTAGTGTTTGAATATTGCAGCCAACTTAAAAAAAATCATTATAGCGCTTTACTCTGAAGACTGATGATTGTTTAAGTCAAATATCCCGCATTCAGTTTAAGGATCATTTCAAGGACATCCAGGTAAAGGACAAACAATTAGGACAGTATGCATTACGCACGTAGTACCACCACAAAGTCGGAGTTGCAGACTCCTTTTTAGTTGCTAATGAGATCAAACAGAGAGAGGAGGGTCTGCAAAATGACACAATGACTGAATCGATTCTGGCCAAACAGAGCTGGTCTGCCTATTGATGCGTTAAGCGTATTAAGGTGTAAATTGCAGTGCTCTGTCACCAGCATTGACCAGTACGGCCTAAAAGTAAATCGATAGCATCTCTCGACTCTCCTTACCCTCCGTCGTGTGCCAAACCTGCCCCCTGCTCCCCCCCACAGTCTCCATCGACGGTGTGGAGTGGAACGACGTGAAGTTTTTCCAGCTGGCTGCCCAGTGGCCCACCCATGTGAAACACTTCCCCGTTGGGATCTTCGGCTACAGCAAGGCGGCGTGACACCCACCTTTTCATTGGGGGGGAGGGCAACCCGCTGGGGGGGGGGGGGGCAACCAGCCAGTCATCGTTTTCCTGTGGAAACTTCACTCCTAATCGCTAAACTGGTGTTCTGAAATCTTCTGTTGTTTTCTGTTTTCCTTTTTTTTAAAAAAATTATATATATATATATAAACAACAGGAACAAGTAATCTTTTGTAAGAATTGTGCTTGGCCCTGAAATCCGTTTTGAACATGGCAGCCGTTTGCACTTTGTTTTTATTTACCTTTTTATCATTTCTGTGAAATCCTGTGTACATAAACATTGTGTGTGGGGGGGTGAATATTGTGGGGATACGGTGTGTTCAGTAGATTACTTGTTTATTTTCCCCTCTGGTGCCGAAAGAGAGGAATATTGCTGTGAAATTAGCTAGGAAATCCTTCACCTCTGAGAGAAGTGCTCTCTTTCTAACCTTTTCTTTTTTAAAGTGACATTTTTACAGTGACCCTTTTAGTATGTAAATTGCCTTTTTATTTACAAGCACTGTGTTACTGGAAGCAAAAAAAAATAGACTCAATCAATCAATTCAGTAAAGCAGGGTATTTTTAAGAATAGTCCCCCCCCCCCTGAAACTTGATACATTTATTACAGGGTGAGTCAGATGGAATTCTGGGAAAGCACCCAGGAATCACCATCCCATTCGTGTCCACAGAACCTATGTCCTGTTTGTAATGCAGATCATGGGTTTCCTGACTCCTTGCTCACTAAATGTCTCTGTTTTTATAGAAATTCATCAGCCATTTGTGAGTCTGCCGCATGCAAGCTTGTATGGCAACTAAACTGGGACCTTTTGAAGAAAGATGGGGAGAACTACAACATGGGATAACAATATGGTATTTTCGTGGTATAATGGGGGATTTGGAGAACAGGCATATCCTAATTACACCTCACCTGTGTGCAAAGAGCCTGAGACTGAAGACGTTCACAATGGAGAGAGCGTGCTACCTCGTAAGGGTAGCATCTCCTATGTTGCAATGCATTGTGGGATATTGTGTTTGTTCACAACTCCGATGATGTGGCTGATCACGTGACCTCCATGTGCTAAAAGAGGCTACGCTATGAATCTGAGATAATCCCACTCTGCTGGACACAAAAAAAACATTGAGACTTTAATTAGCTTTTAAGACTTTGGTCTCTGGCTCTTAAACATCGCGCAGTTAAACATGTCACAAGAGCTGTGAATTTAAAGTACACTTGGGGCTTCTGTTGTGAAATGTCAAATGGGACTTTGTTGGGATTTTGGAGAACAGTTTTTTAGATGACTTAGGCTAAGGGTTACTTTTCAGGAAAGTATTTTTTTGTTGTTTTTAATGAAGAGGTTTTGATGGGTGTCAGAGGGTGAGCGTGCAGGCTTGGCAGTTTCATGTTGTCGTTAGTAATTTTTGTGTTCCCCCACCCTCCCTCGAAGCTGATCCCTGTGCCTCCGTGTCTTGCGTCAGATAGAACCTGTGGCTTTTTAATGACAGTGTCCTCATTCGTAGCTCCTGTCCGTGGTCCTTTATAGACACGCTGACCTTCAGCGACCGAGATGCTCAGTAAACAAGTTAAACAGCATGAGAAGCGAGAGAAATATTTCACGGGTGGATGGTGACCTGTAGTATCTAACGGGGCTGGGATTAAACGCTGGGATTTGCTTTATACGCTGGGTGCCATTTTTACTGCAAGTGTCATATTGATATTTACAGGGGAGAAAAAAATGTAATACGTTTCAAATATAAATATGCACTTTTTTTAGCACTATGACATTTAACTTCCTGTGGAGACTCTTCTGTCTTTGCTCCCACATTCTTCACAAACCCCATGAACTCGGTTATGAAGGTGGGCAGATGGACAGAGATCCCGTGTGTTTCACCTCGTCCTCAGAACTGCCTGTGGTCAGTTTGGTTTTTGTACGTGTTTTTTTTTCCCGGTTGTGCTTTAGCGGCTTTCCCCCGGAGTGCGATAGCTCTGTGCACATCACACTCCACAAGATGCGAGAGGGAATGCAGACCCCTAAACCTTCCGCTACCCCACTGTATCGCGACGGCCGACTCGACAATATAAACCTTGAGCTTTAAAGCACTAATCTGCAGGAAATCCGAGACACGTCCTTAATTAGGAAGGGCATGTTTCAGCAAGACACACCGATACGATCAGTCGCTCTCCTGACCTAGAAATAGCAGATATCTTTGCACAAAACTTCGTTTTAAATTATGACAGTATTTTTAAAGTTACCACTAAAGAAAAAAAAAACATGGTTTAACCTCTGCATGTTTTACGATGGATGTAAATATGTATTGTAATTTTATATTTTCTTTCAACGCTCTCACAAGTGGCTGTGTTTATTAAAATATTTTTACCCTTCATTACACCATGCTTTGTATCTATGTATCTCATTTACAGTCTCCTACCCCAAGGTTTGTGCCCTGCTCTCTGTTCTGAATATTTATACGTCATACACCTGCGTGTAAAAGGCATCCAACACTTATTCCCTTGGTGCTTTGGCGTTCCCAAAACCATTTATTAAACAGGTGATTCTCTGACCAATATATCATGCAAACTGATCTGGAAACAATGTTCCTGACAGCGCCCTTAGCTGCATGTAGGAAGGGGGAGGAGTCTGACTAGACACACCCCCTTAACTAGACACACCCCCTTCTACAGAATGGCAGCTGTCATTATAACGTCCCATTTCCCTACTGCTTAGCAGAGGGCAGGCTCACAAAGCTCTTCATGGGGGGCAGAGGTCTGATCTTGCGCCCTGCCCAACCCCCCTTCCTCTTCCATTTGCCGCTGGAAGGCCGGATGCCTAGCCAGCGGTTGCGGCCGGCCTTGCCGATGATGCGCTTGTTGTGGTCGACGTTGGACATGCGGCCCACCGTGACCATGCACGTCTCCAACACCTGGGGGCAGCAGAGAGTCAGAAAACAAGAGGCCGGAGGCAGATGCCAGGTTTATACGTCTTGAATAATACTGGCTGTCCTCACCTGCACCTGCTGCTTGGATGGCAGTTGCACAATGGCAGTTCCATTCACCTTCCTGAGCAACACGCCACATGTTCCTAGAACAGCAATGACACTCGAGGTCAGCAGGAGAGCCTCTTTGCGACCGCAGCTGATGGTCACGGGGAATCCCCTTTACCTGCCGGTCACGGGGAATCCCCTTTACCTGCCGGTCACGGGGAATCCCCTTTACCTGCCGGTCACGGGGAATCCCCTTTACCTGACGGTCACGGGGAATCCCCTTTACCTGACGGTCACGGGGAATCCCCTTTACCTGCCGGTCACGGGGAATCCCCTTTACCTGCCGCACGGATGTACTTGGCTCCGTCCCCTGGGAGGACCTCCAGGCTGTTTACCAGGGTGCCCACAGGAAGGGCGCCCAGCGGGTACGAGTCCCCCTCGTTGGCAGCAACTGAGGGTTACAAGTGGAAGCCGCCACAGTCATACCAACAAATATACAAAAATGAGGTGGGGGATCTAGGTGTGTGTGTGTGTGTGTGTGTGTGTGTGTGTGTGTGTGTGTGTATATACATGTATCAAAGTATATTACACACACACACACACACACCACAGTTAGTCCTGCTACAATGTGACTAATGCGTTCACGAAAATTGTGTATTATAAAACACATATCCTGTGGGAAAAATGTTAGGAGAATGTGACTCCAAAACCTAGTAACTAGAATAAAAATTTAATAACAGTGATACCAGTGGCCAATAATGTAATTATATGCATTTTAAATTAATAATAATAATATATTTAAAAATTATATCAAACATCTCCTATGAGTCTCAGGAGAATTCCCTGGTAACCGTTTCAGCCGAACAGACTGAACTCGCTAACCTGTCAATTGCTGGAAGTCGGGAGTAGTAAGCCGCGGCCCCCATGTGGCCAGGCATGCGCACAGCTCACTGCGCACAGCTCACTGCGCACAGCTCACTGCGCACAGCTCACTGCGCACAGCTCACTGCGCACAGCTCACTGCGCACAGCTCACTGCGTATTGGACTTCATTTACTAATTACTAATACTAATATGTCAGTTGTGGTAAAACAGATAGTGGGTGAGTGGATGGAAGGAAGTCCAAACATGTAATATACAAAATGAAAATGTGTTTTTTTTCCCACTCAATTTCTTATTGTATGTGTGTAAATATCAGTCCCAAAATGAGTTTATTCATATTCCATTGCTTTAGGTTCTCACAGGCCGGACATGTAAGGACAAGTCGAGCATTCACCCGCCATGCGGCCGATGTGGCTGGAGGTCTTGATCAGGTCTCCAGCCTCCATGTTTTCCGTGGCGAGGATCCAGCGTTTCCGGCTGCCACCAGCCACCAAGGCAATATCAGCCGTCCTACCAGGGAAACACATCGAGGAGGTGACTGAGGAGGTCGGCCTTATAGGACAATTCCAGGCTACTCTCAGAATCATCCGTAAACAGGACAATCACATCTGATCAACGTGTAGGATGGTACATAACGTCTGTCAATGCCTTAAGGTAAAAACCGGCCACATGTACCTCCTGCAAGCCCAACAGTCCTGTCTTCACCAGGGTTTGGCTTCTAATCTTATCAGTGATTCAGAAGCAAAGCTCTTCAAAAAGGATACCAGCCCGGCTTAAATCACCAAACAAAAAGCTGCCCTTATTCCAAGGTAACCGCAATATCTTCACAAAACTGATAACTAACAGCACCTAAGTAGTTCTGGTATGTTTTTTCTTGCCCATCCATCTCGCAGCATCTTGTTTGTAAGGACTTCCTCACCTGCAAGGGTCATATCGGACTTCAATGACCTTCTCCTCAAAGGCCTGGTTCTCTTTGCCAGGTTCGGAGCGCAGCCGATGGAAGTCCACCATGCGATATCGCTGCTTGTGGCCACCGCCAATGCCGTGCGTGCGGATTTTGCCTGCGTCAGAGGTGTAGAAAGTGGCCTGTGATCGGACACGTCACATTGGCCTCCCCTCCAATCCTACATATAATTTAGCATATTCATGGGCTGCTATTGAGTGCTGGGCCCCATGAATCTGACAGGGCATCCATGCACCTCTGATGCCCCTGGCTCCATATAGACATATTTACAAACTGTTGCAGATGAAGTGGGTAAGGAACTGGTAGTATTGCCACAAAGACACAAGACCCCAGGTCATTTTATAGTAAAATGACATTCTTCAACCACCAATCAGGTACTATGCAATTTCTGCAACTCTTAAACAATATTGGTTAAGTTGCCCATCAACGCACCTGTGTGGTCCCTGCCTCCAGTCTTCTTCATGCCAATAGGCCGAACCGTGTACTTGGTTGTCTGCTTCCACAGAGTTCTGTTCTGAGCTAAATGGGCCGTTGTTAAGAAGCCCCGCCATTGTACTGTTGTGGTGCTGTTTTGAAGGTATAATAGATACCCGGTGAACACTGAAGACCTCGGTGATGGCAACCCCACTGCCTGCTAGCAAAGAAATACAATAAAAATGAATATTTTATGCTGATAATTAATACATAGTAAACATGGAAAAGGCATGATTCTATCCTTGCCTGAGAACATAGCGAGGCTGGCCGGCAAACCCCAAGTGCATCGCCACAAACAGTGAGCGAGCGCAGGGCTCGGGACAGCGCCGCGACCGCCATCAATGTCAGCCTTACCGCTGGGAAAGGAAGAGCAAAGTCACAGCAGCTCTTTATTACTCAACTTACTCGAGGAACAGAAGCTGTATTTACACTTTCTAACAATCCGCCATAAAACAGCCCCGTGTTACAGATGACATTATAATTAATAAGCTTTTATAGGGCCATGCATGCCTAATATAAAAAAAAACCCAGCTAGTGTCCCACGCCGTGCACCTAACGCTAGCTTTAGCATACCGGGTCCCACTAAAAAATTAATTCAATATTATATTTAATTATGATAAAATGTATTTAAAATCAAATCACAATTTACGTACCCTGTAATTTTACTGTCAATATTATACAGCAGTACTGGTAAGATTTCCGTTCGTATAGGTCACAGCACCAGTTATTCCAGTCTGTCGCACAAAAATGACGACAGACAAGAGTTTTCAAGAAAGAAAGAAAAAGTCACCGCTAGGGGGCGTGCGGGAGCCTACAGTCACGCGTTATGTGATTTTGCAGACTCTCTCTCGTTCTGGGGGATCCCCCAGATGTTCCCAAGCCAACTGGGAGATACAATCTCTCCAGCGTGACCTGACTTTTCCCTAGGACCTCCCCCAAGTGGCCCGTGTTTGGAACATCTCACTTGGGAACCACGCTTAAGAGACGCACGAACTTCCCCTGCTGACTGCAATCGATCTGAACGAGCAGCAAATCTATTTAGAAATCCTTCCTGATTTTGGAATTCCTCTCCATGTCACCCAACAATCCAGCGGGGAAATGTCATTTAGACCTTTTGCACTTGTGACATTTCGGTCATTACTCCTTAGACGAGGATAGGATAGCAGGTCCCCAAATAATTAATATTGTTCACTAGGGGCACAGTCTACCCATCTCACCTAAATTGAGCACTCGACTCCCTTCCGAGATGATGTCATTTTTCCGGATTTGGCAGGGCTGGCTGTCATCCCTGTCAATGACGGGGGGGGGGGGGGGGGGTGTCTTGTTCAGATTAGACCAAAAGCACCAGCATTATTTCCACCAGATCTACAGCTAGGCCCACTCACTAAAGATTACTTCAGTGTTTATTACTGAATAGAGAACATGGGGCATCCAACTTCTACAAAGGCAAACTTTCATGCTTAAATAACTTTCTTAGGACATTTATTATATAATTTTTTATATATATATTTTTTTCTTTTCAATATTTTTATGGCAGAGCACATCTCCTTGCATTTCATTGCAGGTTACAGTCTGCCTGCATACTTTGCATGTGACAAATTATAGGACCACATGGCCTTGTATAAGACTGCGTGGCCTAATGGATAAGGCGTCTGACTTCGGATCAGAAGATTGAGGGTTCGAGTCCCTTCGTGGTTGATTTTGAGAGCCGTGAGTGGCTCACAGATTAATACTGGACATAATAATAACAATACTGGTCATAAAGTCACCAGTTTCAATCCATGGCTCAGCAGATTGATTTCACAGTTGGGCCCCTGAGCAGGATGTTTAACCTCTAGGGCAGCGGTGGCCAATCTTATCTGCAAAGGGCCGATGTGTATGCAGGTTTTTGGGGTAACCTTTAGGTCAGCTGTTCCATCCCTGGTGTGAGTAGGACTCAGCCAATCAGTCCTCTATTTCTTAATATAATTAGGGAGCTGCAGCGAAAACCCGCACACACAGTGGCCCTTTGCAGGTAAGATTGGCCACCCCTGCTCTAGGGACTTTCTGGCCCTGTTTTCTGTGGGCAGTGGTGGCTTAATGGTTAGAGAAGTGCACTCATATTTGAAAAATTGCTGGTTTGAATCCCCGACCAGCAAAGTACCGCCACCAAGCACTGCTCCCCGAGCACTGAATTAGTTACCTGCTGCTATGTCATGATGTCACATATGGGTTAAATGCAAAGGACACGCTTCATCGTGGTGTGTCAACAATGTCCACTGATCACCTAATTCTAAACCCTAGAATCCTTGACGTTTCAGGAGATTATAGATTTTAAAAGAAACCAGTTCCATTATCTGGTCGGACGGTGGCGCGACTGCACCAAGTTTCATTTGAAAATGGCTAGACTGGAAGACGACAAAATAGAAGATTTATAAACTATAGACGAAAATGTTTATAATTTGTTATATATAGTCGTCACTGAATAAATCTGGAAGAAAAATTATGCCACAATAATAAGTCGCTAGTGGAATTATACTGCGTTAACCCACCACCCGTCTTATCTAAGCATAATCACTTTTCTAAACACAAGCACACAGCCGCACCCCGCGAGCAGAAACAGTACAACGTCATGCGTAATCTGTGCAAAGACTTCTGGGAAAACATTAACTCACCAGGGCGGCCATCTTGGATTTAAAGGGGCTCACCCGACGTCTCTTCTCGATAAGGGTCTAAATAGTCTCACAATTTGTGTGCATTTGTGAGGGTTATCTTTACGGAATGTACATAGTGTAAGCGTTTGTGTTTTCATAAAACGTGGCCGTTTTAAATCGCCGACAGGTGGAACGGGAGCGGAATCGACTCTTGATTTTCGGGGCGCGAGCGACCGCCGGAGCCGCACGGGAGACTGTAAGTGGCGGATTTGTGTGGGATTCGGGGAGTGACCGAATAACGAGGTGATATTTTCATTTTCTGTGTCCTCATCGTGAAGAAGGAGAGAAGGGGGGCGTGAAAGCTGTAAAGCTCCCGTTTCGGCGAACAATAGTGAGTTATTATATAATGGGGTCCCTTTTTGGTTTATCTTACCATTACCATCAGCGTGTGCTTTTTAATTTGTATACGTCGTGTGACCCCGCATCCCGGTGGCTTATCCTGCTCATCCCGAGTAAACACTCGGCTGAGATTTGCTAGCCTCATTAGCATGCTAGGCGGCTATCTGCTCCGCCGCCGGCTTGTTTGTGCTCAGCATGGGGACAATGGCATCACTTGCTGCTTAACCGATTCGTGTAGCTTAGCTTGAAGACATTTAATGCGATTTTTCATGTTTTACCTTCAGTCGTATATTAAATTAATCTTCAAAGTAGTTCACAGTTGGGATTTCATTTTTAGTTATTTGTATTGATCTGGGGGGACAGAGTTCTGGGATTAAGTTGTATTGACTGGAAGGTATAAGATGCGAAATCACATTATTCAGAATAAGATCATCTGTCATTGTCATGTTTTACTGCGTCAGTTTCCAAAATGTCAAATTAGGCCACTCCGGCCCCAGAATATTTACCTACGTATTTGGATTATTTACCCACGAAAGTTGTTTAAATTCTAAATTGCTGGTATAAAAAGTGTTATATTGACATTTTTTTTATAGGATACAATCTTTCATATGAAATCTGCTTTCATGTGTTTTACCCTCACTATAGTTTTTTCTTCTTCTTAGAATCACGCCTCCCGCAATATTTTACTGATGACACTGGCTTCAGTTATATTCTTTTTAAGAATAAATTGTCGTGATTTTGGTGTCATTAGGCCAGAGCATCTTTCTTTGTGCTTTATCACCTTTAAGCAGTGAATGCAGTGAACCGTGATCTGTACTCCTGAATGCTTTTATCACAGCGGGAGACGCACTCCCCTCTTTTTTTTTTTTTTTTTTTTAATAAAAAGGGTGCATCTTGTTTTATCCGGGTGGCATTTTAACCTCTGGCGTATGGCTCTACTCGGGAAATGATTGAAATGGATCTTGTTTATAAGCCGTTATATGTAACATACAAACCGCTCTTGCAAAGACTGAAAGGACCAAAGGTTCTTGGTGTCCTAGCGACAGCCTCTCTGATCTTGTCATAATGTGCTAATATAATGGTTTAAGTGTATGTTGTTGGGGGATCTGTCTGTACATAAGTCAATATTTAAACTCCAACATCTCGGGAATCTTTTGTGCCGCTTGACTATATTTTTCCTGGCTTAATGTAATTGTGGCTCTTGATGGGAAGATGTTTTCATTTTTTATTATTATTATTATTATTATTATTATTATTATTATGTATAATAATAATAATGATAATAGTGTTAATTTCTCCATCTAACGAGGCAAAAAGATCTGCAGTGGTTCTATTTAATCTAAGGGATAATTTGTCCTGTTACATTCCACATTTAATATCCTCAGTTTAAGGAAGAGTTGATCCAATTTTTTCTTAATATAAATGCTGATATGTATTTTAATTAAAGGTTAAGGTTTAATCTTTGTTTTATTAATTTAATACATTTTTGTGCAGTTAAAATTAAGATCGCAGTATTTTATATTGCTTGAAATTGTTTCTGATTCCCACCCTAAGTAAAGATCTCTTGTATGTCTGTGTTAAAAACATATTAATAATGTTTGCGTGTTGGGAAGACTGGCCCCTGACAGATTACCTCGCATTGCCAAGATGCAGAAGTGTCATGCTTTTTCTGTGTTGTTTCATGGTTAACATTCTTGTTTGTTTTGATGGAGCTGTAACTGTATGATTTCTAGTTTTTGTTTTCCTTCGTCTTTTCTGTTTTCTGTTTTGCTCTGGGCAGGAGTGGGGAGTCGCTGGAGATAATTTTTGTTTATGAAAACCATTGGCGGGGGTGTCTTCCGCTGTCGGGGTTGATCCAGTATTGTGTTTGAGAAGATAACCGTGGGGTAATTATCCATTAATTTGGAAATGCTTACTGTGCCACTTCAATGCACAGGAGAGTGACTGATGCCTCTGATGGGAATCCATTGACTGGGCCAGCTTTGGCCTCTGCTTATAGGCTGTTAGTCCCAGCCTGGTGGTACTGGGGGATTTTCCACAGTGCTTGTTGTTCAGGTCTGCATGCTGCATTGTTCTGAGGTGGAGGTAGATGATGTGAGACTTGTTCCCAGAGGATGCCACCAGGAGATTGGCTGAGTTTTTAACTTGCTGTTCAGGCGACTTTTTCAAATCGAGAAGCCAATTATATTATGCCCTGGAGAAAAATACCTAACTCTAGTGCATCAGCAAATCTCCAGCTTGTTTTATTTCTTTAGTTAACACAGTTTAGCAGCTTTGTCCTTAGCTATTACTTATTTGTTGTGGTAAGAGATGCATAAATATTCCGTCAATAATAAAAATCTAGGACCGTCACCTGGGTTGGTTATTCATGTGGTGGAACTACTGTACAAGGAGGCGCACATGTTAGGGTTAATGGCAGATTCTGCATGGCCACGTTGTGAGTCTCTCAGCTTTCAGCTGTCTGCTCTGCCCCACCCTCTCCAAACCCCTCCCTGCTCATCCCAGTGCCCTGTCAGGCAGGAGCTGCTTTGTGTGTGTGTGTGTGTGTGTGTACCAAATGTCCCCACAATGTGAAAATAAATTTTTTCAGTCCCCACAAGGGGAAATTCAGTTTTATAAAAATCTGTGCTTGCAATCAAAAAACTAAAGATAACAAAAGACTCTGTGTGCGTCTGTGTGTGTGTCGGGGTGGATGACATCGAAGAAATGTTTGATTTGAGAAAAGACGTAGTTGAATATCCAGTCTCTGTTGACAGAGGCGGTTAAACAGCATGGAGGGTTGGTCATGGCTGCATTGCCATAGCTTTGGGGGGTGTTGATAGCGCTCCCCATATCTGATCACTTTCTCCTATTAACTGCTCTGCCTCTCTGCCACATTCACTATTCTGCCATCACTGTACAGTCTCGTGCTGTGAATGTTGTTTTCCATGCCATTGTAACCCTGTTTATAGTCATGATGTAGAAACTGATTATTTTCACCCTGGTGATTGGCTCACTATGGTTTAAACCCTCACTATGCTTTATGGTTCCTCCTCTCTCTGCTGGCAAAATCGACTTTAATTGCTGGGTTTTCTTGATGCCGCACTCATGTGCACATGCCTTCATTCCTCTGGAAGCCTGCTGTGCAAATAACTGCTCTTTTTAATGGTCCGTAATAAAATTTTGCAGCTGAATGAGGAGACAATGAAAGTACTTTTGAAAGTTGGGAGGGGTCGTGGTGCTCAGTGTGAATCAGGCTCTACAATGGAGCAGTTCAGGGGAGAAAAATGAAGATGTAAGGCGGTTTGGTGCTTCAGCCCCCTCCCATCCCATCTGTCAGACTGTATGTAACTATGGTGCCTCCTAACCAAGCTGCTCTAAAAGCCACTTGTGCCTGCTTCAGCCCCGTGGCAGCTGTCCTCTCTTCAGGCAGTAGGATGCCAAGCACGACGTAACTGTTGTTCTGCACTTTGAGTTGAGGTGTTGCCCAGAGGGAGAAATTTAGGGTGTGGTCTGGATGCCACTGATGCAGACTGGACCCCAGCCAACACGCTCTCTGCAGCGGCCTGATCCCTGGCAAAACCCCCGGGGGAGGTACGAACAAGCAAATGTCCCTGATCCAAAGCTCAGTCTGTTACTTGGATACTAGTATCTGAGGCTCAGCATCATGGCCGTATTTGACCTCTGAGTAATTCATATTTGTTTTCATTGCACCTGAAGGCTATTTAGTCTCCGCTAACAAAGAGGTTCAGGTGACAGGGAAAATACTGCTCATCTTTCCCTAGTCCCTCCCTCACAAGGAGCCGTTGAATTGGAGGGCCTCAGTCGACAGTGATGCTGCCAGGCACTGACTGGCATCCTCGCTGAGACACCCACAAAGCTGCTTGCCTGTGAGAATTAACTGAGCACCTTTTGGATCCCGCAGTGTCAGTTTTACAGTGACTCCGCTCCTGATGTTTTATGCAGTTGACAGACTCCCAGCATCTCTGATGACCAGTAACTTGGATGCCAGGTGGACTTGAGTGGAACTTACGGAGTGAATCCCCTCCTATTCTTTACCTTCCCTCTGCATAGTGGTGGAAGCTCCCAGAGACGGCATAGATTAGAGCTGAACTGCAGGTCTCTGTGCGCAGGGGACGTGGCCTTAGTGGCTGATAGTGTATGTGGCTTGTCTTCAGTGAAAACCTCATTGTTCTGGCTAGATTAAGCTGTAACCTTGCAGGCTGCCCTTCCCGTCCCGTTTGAGTGTAAATAATGAACAAGCGAAGTGCCTTATAGCAGCCAGGTGGGTGTTTCATTGCCTCCCAGCGTGGTAGGGTGGGTCCCTGGAGCTTTGGTGGGGGGGGGGGGGGATTCAGCATTCAGCTCTGCACCAGATGGAAGGAGTGGCTGTAAGGTGGGGGTGGGCGTGGCCACAGCCTGTGCTCCACCCCCACGGCTGTTTGGGAACGTGCCTGGTGATGGCGCCACCTGCTTTGTGCCTTTGTGGGAATTGACTGCAGAGGCGCTGACTTCATAAGGACCTGCCCCCTTCCCCCCAGTTCAGACATACCCCGCCCTTCTCTCTCGCTCGCTCCCTCTCTCTCGCTCTCTCCCTCTCTCTCTCCCCCTCTCTGCACTGCCAGGCTGCTTCCCCGTGCAGAACGCTGATCTAGCTTATTCTTGGTGCAGTCGGAAGGTCAGAGCTTCACCCTTCGTGTTGTTCTCCTCTCGTTCCTCTCCCGCGCCCTTCAGCTCTCCTGTTTCTCCGGTCTGCTCGGTTCAGTGTCCTCTCCCACCCGCTGCGGTTTCCACGGTAACCGCTCGCTTCTTGCCCTTGGTGGGCTGTTTCGTCAGCTTGTGGGAAGGAGGAAACATAGCCCTGTGTCGGGGCCATGAGCATCTCCTGCTGAATCTCAGGTAAAACGCCATTTTACGGGGGCCGTTTCTGCACATTCTGCTACAGCCCCCTTGTCTGATTTACATTAGTAAGGTCAGTGCCATGAGCCTTTTGCTGATGCTCCGAGGGTCTGTTTCGCTTGTGGTGGTGTTACCGTCTCGTCGCTGCGGGGCACAGTTGTTTTGGTCGCCCCCGAGTTCTGTCCCAAGTAAACCTGCCGTTGTCGCATGCTGCCGTTTGCTGCAGTAACCTGACTTTAACATGCTCTGCTGTGTCAGGATGTCGTCTGTCGTTGTAGTTTACTGAGAATAATCAAAGAACTACTGAGAAGCTTTGCCTTCTGTACTTCTGTGTTGTTAAGATTCATCGTGTTATGTGAGTAGCGTTGCTGCAGGACGTGATGATGAGGCTTTTTCATCCAGAGGCCTTCCATATTGGATTATAGATCAGCGTCAGGGCAGAGTTGATGGCCGCTGTCCTGAGATGCTAATTTCATTTCTCGTCAGACAAAGGGCGGCTGCCGGGATTCAGCCCGTCATCTTTGAGGTTCCGCCCATAATTAACATAATTGATCACCGATCTCTGAAACAAATGCACATCCCCCCATTTTTATTTAACTGGGAACTGCTGAAGTTTGCTGCATTCAATGGGAGGAATTATTTTAGCCCAGTCACTGCTATGTTGTACTTTAATAAAGTGTCTTTACTTCCCATGAGCCTCTGCTTCACAGATCACCACACTTTACCCAACTGCGTGGCATGGTGTGTCACAGACCTCTGTTTGGGGATGGGTGGGGGGCCTCAGTACTGCTGGTGTTGACCTGCCCCCGTCTGGAAGATATTCTTTTTTTTTAACAGAGCAGTTCAGCATACAGGAATTAAAATGGTATTTAGGATCAGTCTGAAAGGGGGTCTTCTTCAAAGCAGGGATTGCCAATTGCATGAAGTGGCTTGTTTTCTGTTGTTAAGCGATTTTCCATGAATACATAAATTTGCATTAATTACTGGACACTCCCTCCCAAAGGGTGTAAATAATACATGATCTGCAGTTGATTGATTTCTGCTGGTTGAACTGGCCCACAGATGTGGAAGAGAGGTTTAGGCTTCATTTATGCTAAGGGAGCACTCAGATTTTTAAATCTGCCGTAAAAGACGGACTAAAGGATAAAGTCTGACTGTAATGCAGCGCTGATTTTAGCTTTTTTCAGATCTGCTTGTGTCCTCTCATGCCAGTTGCTTGTTCATTCATGGTGACATTAACTGACTTCCTTTAATTCCTTGTTTACGCAGAGTTGCTCTCCGAAGCTCCAGACACATGTTTTCTGAGCTCGATCTCCTCTTCAGGCTCCAGGACGGGGCCTTCAGGATAAACCAGGGAAGGGCTGTTGAATAGAGATTTAATGGCGAGAGCCTAATTATTCATCATTCGTCACCCCTGCAGTTTGCTGTCATAATACCTCCAGCCTCTGCCCCTGCATTGGGTTTGCAGTTTAAGCCGTATTAATCCTGGTAGTTTTAAAATCTTATCACCAGGTTTGCAGAGTGGATTAGAAGCAAGTCTTAAATATTTCAGAAATTGCCCTTCTGATGAACAGGGCCCAAAAATAGTGTATGTATGTGTGTATAATCTGAAAATATTTATGAGGTTTCTGCCAGGACATGTGGAATCCTATTTCTTTGTGCCTTAAAATATGAAATTTACAAAGTATAACTGAGGCAGTCGATTGCCTTGTTATGAGTTACGTTTTGTGTCTGATTGGAATGCTCCGTAGCACCATTCTGTCTTGTGAACGTGGCATCCGATTTTGAAAGCCTCTTGTCATTCACTTAATAGCTTCTCACCGCGCTTGAGTCATGTGCTGCTCGACGCCTTCCACACCCATCTCAGTTGATTCGTGGAGGCTCGTGCTGTCATCATGGCCATGGCTCTATGCCAGCCTGCTTGAGGTCACCTGATTGGCGGTTCCCTCCTTCCATCAAATCCCTGCGCCGGCCTACTGGCACATGATAGGATCTCATGAATATTAATGATTCTCTAAATGAGTCTGTGACACTTTCCTCTTATCAGTGTGTTAATTGCCTTTTTGTCACTGGTACTTTTGTTGCTACCTGCAGGGAGCTGGCAGATCATCCTGATGGGATGTCGTTCTCCTTCTCTGTTGCCATGTACACTGATCCACTTTGAGCCCATTGCTGCACCCACTCTGAGGTTCTGCTTTTCCTTTTGACATGACGTTAAGGACACGCTTGGCTTACCAGCCGCATAAGAAGTTTATAAGCCCGGTGCATGGAAAGGGAAAATGCCAACATGATGCTGTTGGACGTGGTGATTCATCCCCAGCGTGACTCACCCGACCGGATCGTCGTGGCATTGTGGCCGCCCGCTTTCCGCGGACCCACCCCTTGGGTACCGTGTGCCCTGCGCTTCCCACCCCAGGAAGTGAGAAAGATGTCCAGTCACACCCTGGAAATTCAGGGTGAATCTCAATACGAAGAACGTGATGATCGCACTTGTGGTCTAGACAAGATCGATCTTGTCAACTTGCCTACCAGGAATGAACTTGGGTCAAAATGAATTGTGTGATTGGTGTCGTTCGGCAAGGATGCAGCCAATGTATCCTTGATATTGGGGCGGAGCAAGAACGACATCCGGGCATTTTTACCGTACTCTGTACTTGTGTTCTTAGTATCGGAACTGGTCTTGGAAGAGGATGTAAAACGGGAACACGAGAACACGCTTGTATGGTCCAGTGCACATACTGAGATTCACCCTAAGTCCAGCCTGCTGGCTGCTGGTGCCCTTTTCAGGTTGCCCATCCTGACTGGCTTGTCACTGTTGTGATGTGGGCATCGCAGAACCCGCCTTGTTTGGCCCGCTCTGCGGCAACCGGTTTTAACTGTTCCATCCTCCTCTCTACCGCACAACTCGGTACATGGGGATATGAAAGGTCACCTTGAGCGCCGACTGTGCCTCTCATGCCGGAAAGAGGCGAGGAGTGATGGGGGGGGGGGGGCTTTATTACCGCTACTCTGTATAAAAGCACTGGGGGTGCCAGCGGTTTGCACCTGTAATGGGATGGCAGGCTGGCACAGGAGCTGCGTAATTGTAGCACAGATAAAAACTGGGCTGTCATATTGGGACAATATGTCTTCATGCAGTGTTCTGTGCCTGAGGCCGATTGATGGTCGTTTTCCTGAAATCTGAACAGCCGGATTTATGCTTGTATGATTATTATTATTTTTTTTGGATTATAAAATTGCTGTCTGGCACAGTCTAACCTGTCATTAGGCTTGTTTTTCTGGTCTCCTGACCACCCATGGAGAGTAGATGCTGTGCTCAGGCAGCCCAGCGGGGGGCAGCATAGAGAGAGTGGTCGCATTGCTTTTGCTGCCCCCCTAATTTGAGGGGTTAGCAGATGGTGCTTGGCTGGCTTCTCCTATCATTGCTTGTATGCTAATGCTGTGTTCACTTTGTGCTCCTGTCTCAAAGGGAGCTGCTTTATGCCAAGAGCAGGAAAATGTGTATGAATGTTGCAGCAAGATATAGTTCTTGGGTAAAAGAGACTGCAGGCATCTTGGCACACATTTTACTGGTCTGTCTTTAGAACCAAAGTATGCAACCAGATCCCCTTCAGGACTTAACCTAAGATTTTTAATCTGTCTGCAGTCTTTGTTAATTTTGATTTGGTCTTCCACTCGCTGACAGTAATTAGCCTTGTTTTGATGTTGGGGGGGATGCTCCTGCCATATTTCCTCTTTGGGAGGTGGCCTGAGCGCAGTGTTGGGGGCTCAGGGTGATAAACGCTGGATGACAGGCAGCAGCTGGCTCCGGATGGCTGCTCTTGCTCGCGCCTGCTGTCTCCCACAATAGGCCGGCACTGCTGTCTGCCACTGGGAGTAGCTGCTTTTTGACCCCAGTCTGTAGGCCCTGCCCCCCTCCCAGCCACACCCAGACTGTGCCCAGTGACTCAGTACATCAAATGAGCGTCTCTTGTTTTCCTGCTGGTTAATAATTAATCTGACAATATAAGGTAAGCGTGTAGATGATGATACAGGTTTGTGTTTCCGCTTTTCTCTTGTATGTAATGGCAGCTTTATTTTTTTTAATGCAAATTATTATTACATTGATGTGCCAGTTTTGTTAAATCGGTGCTGATGGTTGAGCAACTGGGTTAGAAATGGCTGTTTGGGAGTTTGATGATGGAATGTCACCACTCCTGTCCTGTAATGCTCGCCAAATGCACGGCTGCCATAGCGACACGTTCCATCACTTAGTAATTCTGTCACCACGGCGCTCGCATAATTCAGAACGGACAGCTGCAGGGTGGATGATGTTGATGTAATTCCCACCATCACAGTTTGCGCAGAATTCAGGTGTCCAAAGCTTTGCTCGATATGAAAAACCCATTATCCTGAGTCTGGCAACATTGGGCTCTATCCACCCTCTGCACCGAGGTCTGTTATGTGCTTGTGGGTGATGAAACGTGGCCTCAGTCTCTCCATTTGTTTTGAAGGCACAATGCTGTATTCTGTAGTTGGTCAGTCACATTGTGTTGAGCTGTTTCTCAGCCAAACAAACACTTCCAGTTGATTCTCATGAGTCTAAAATGTTTGCAAACGATGGTAATTTTGACTTTTCACCTGGAACAGGGTACGGTTATGATGATCCCTGACACTCAGTTGTAGGGTAAAGCAATTCAGCAGTCTTTGTAATTCCACTTTCTCTCCTTTTTTTGGGTAAACAGCATCAGTGCCTGCCGCTCTTCTGCTGTTTTTGCGCAGATTAAGCATGCAAGGTTCAGCCTGTGTAGGTACAGAATTGCTGAATTTGTTTAACCAACACCATTTACAATGTGACCAGGTAATGATGTACAGTGTTTATTGCTCTCATTACATGCTAGAGTACAAGAAAGTCTAGGTTGAGTGGCTTTGTCTGTAGGTTAAGCCTGCATATCATCTCTCTGGTTCAGCTACCCAAGTTATACATTTTGTTATGGAGCTGAGCAACAGATTACTAAGTGTGAGAACCAGGAAGTTGGCCAGGAGCTTTAAGGTTGACCGACGACTCCTTCCTGTGCAGGTTGTCTCCAATAGAAGATGTCCACAATGGTCTACCCACGAGAAGAGAAGCTAGAGAAGCTGTCGCAGGAGGAGATCATCTCCAACACCAAGCTGGTGATCCAGGGCCTGGAGGCGCTGAAGAACGAGCACAACTCCATCCTGCACAGCCTGCTGGAAACCATCAAGTGCCTGAAGAAGGATGAGGAGGCCAACCTGGTGCACGAGAAGTCCAACCTCCTGCGCAAGTCGGTGGAGATGATCGAGTTGGGGCTGGGGGAGGCACAGGTATGTGGATGGGTGGGTGGGGGTGTGTGATGGGACCGGAATTACATATGCTCCACCGGTTCCTTTTCTTGCAGAGTGTTTGATTCACTTTTGATTGGCCTCTTCCTTGGCCTGGAAGTAACGCCTCATTGATTTAATCCAAGTAAATGGTCTCTTCTCAAGTTGTCCATGCAAGCAGCAGCAGCCCCTTCACCCGCCACCCTCTCCCCACTCCTAACCCTCCAGGTGATGATGGCACTGTCCAGCCACCTGAACGCCGTCGAGTCGGAAAAGCAGAAGCTGCGGGCGCAGGTGCGCCGTCTGTGCCAGGAGAACCAGTGGCTGCGGGACGAACTGGCCAACACACAGCAGAAGCTGCAGAAGAGCGAGCAAAGCGTGGCCCAGCTGGAGGAAGAGAAGAAGCATCTGGAATTCATGAACCAGCTGAAGAAGTACGATGAGGACGCGTCCCCGTCGGTGAGGAGAGCCGTCCGGGCCGCTGTCGGGCAAAAGATTCCCGTGTGTTTGAGTTGGTCTTACTCTGTCCTCTGTAAAGGACCCCTTCTGCTGATTTGCCAGTTTGTCTGCCTGCAGCCGGGCCGTCTGCTCTCAGAGTGCCACAAATCCCATCTCCAGCAGGGCTGGGGGGGGCACAGGGAGATTAATCCATGTCAGCTGCCCAGGATGTTAATAACAATTTGCTTTAGCTCAGTGCTTTTCTGGTATATGCCTGGTTTGACGTATTAAACCGGTTAATGGAAGCATAGAATATCTCCTCCGTCTTTTTTTTTTTTTTACAGGCAGCCTGGGGATTTTTTTTGCGACTTAATGGGCTGTATATGGGATAGGGTTACACATCTTGGTTGAATACTGTGATCTTGTGACGGTAAGATGCTGGATAATTTCAAAATGGTTGCCATATAGCCTTTCAGGAAAAGACGGCAGCAGGAATGAAGCCGTGATGCAGCCATGCCAGGACTTTCATAGATTGATCTTCCTGTCAGTCCTGCCCTGCTTTCCGGTGTGGTGGGGGGGACAGATAATCGGTCAGACTACTGAGCTCCGCAAGCCCCCAGCAAACATTAATTTCCCCCCCACTGGGTAGCTCTCTGAGATCAGGAATCAAAGGCAGGCTTCTTCACAAGTCAAATGTTTGAGGGCATCAACGTGTGCTTCTGTGATCTCGCAGTGAAGTATGGCTTGTCGGGGCTGTAAACGCAAGTGCGCGCTGGAGTACGGGTGAATCGATCTCTTTAACGGCACTGTACCAGGACTCTGGCCGTATCGATTACCCATAAGGCACTTATCGCATCCTGTCACATGAGCCTCTCTGGGAGGGGGCTGGTTGCTGCTTTACTAGCAGCAGTGTCAGTGCACTTCTGACCCTTGTGGTTTTGTAGATTTCCGGGGGGTGGGGGGCAGACTGCTCCGTCCCTTATAGACTGCAGGGTATGATGGGATTTATCGTGACTCACCTTTTAAAGTAAATGATGCTTTTGGTTTCAGGGGGGGGCGTTTGTGGTCCAGCGATTAAATGTAATGCTGCTGATATGGAGTTAGCCAATCAGAGATGGCCTTCACTCTGGAGGCGAGCCTCATTTGTTGGTGAAGGTCACATTCCCCGCCTCCCAGTAGGACGCTGACCATTTGGCTACTTGTTTCAGGAGGAGAAGGATGGAGAACCCCCCAAGGACTCTCTGGACGACCTGTTCCCCAACGAAGAAGACGAGCACAGCCAAGGAAGTAAGATCCTCTCTCCAGTCGCGCCCCTATTTCAAACTATACGCAGATGAGTCAAGAGCCCCCCCACCGCCACCCTTTCTGAACACAGCAGCCCCCCCAAGCTGACCTCTAACTAACCCCCTCGCCCCCCGTCCCCACTACAGTGCAGCATCAGCACAACAGCGCGGCAGTGGCAGCGGCCCAGCAGGGCGGTTATGAGATCCCGGCCCGCCTGCGCACGCTGCACAACCTGGTGATCCAGTACGCCTCGCAGGGCCGCTACGAGGTGGCCGTGCCGCTGTGCAAGCAGGCGCTGGAGGACCTGGAGAAGACGTCCGGCCACGACCACCCCGACGTGGCCACCATGCTCAACATCCTGGCGCTGGTCTACAGGTGCAGCCTCAGTAATACCTTCGGGACGTGACCTAATGGCTTATGTGAGAGCATAGCCACCGTCAGGGTCGCCCAGCAGTTTCCTGGATTTTTGTTGTGTTAGTCATGTGGTCTCGGCTTGTAATGTTTCCTTAAAAACAGCACTGTAGTTCCAGACTGTGCTGCTGGCTTGGTGGTGTTAGTTGCTTGCAGTTGGATGAGCTTGGTGGGGTTTAGTCAGTCCTGTTTCTCGCATGATGCTGCGGGAGAGAAGCTTGACACCTCATTGCATTTCGTGTCCAGAGACCAAAACAAGTACAAGGAAGCCGCCCACCTGCTGAATGACGCCCTGTCCATCCGTGAGAAGACCTTGGGAAAAGACCACCCTGCGGTAAGTGGCGCAGAGACCACCCCCCCTGCTGGGGCCGAAACGCCAGAAGCTTGTGGTTTATTTGCATGAGGCCACATAGATTGTTTATGGTAACTGCAGTATTGACGATTTCCTGTGCTGCTGTTTGCGCGTTGATAAGCCACTGCAGGGTCAGGGAGGTCGCGTGAATATGGGCAAGACCCACTGCTCTTAATGCCCAGCTGCAGGGCGGGCTGGGCCGCAAGGTCGCGACCTCTCCGTGGTGGTGTTAATGCGCGGTCTCTGGCCTTGCCCAGGTGGCCGCCACCCTGAACAACCTGGCCGTGCTCTACGGGAAGAGGGGCAAATACAAGGAGGCAGAGCCGCTGTGCAAGAGGGCCCTGGAGATCCGCGAGAAGGTACAGCCCCCACCCCCACCCATCACACCCATCGCGCATGCAAACGCCAGTTCTTTGATTCAGGGCATTAGTGAATGAGTTTTTCTTTTTTTAAAAAATTCCACTTGAAAGATGTGAGCTCCCTTTGCAGTAATCATAGCTGATGCTCGTTTATGCTGTTAACGTGTCACTGTAGTTTCCATGTGACAGAAGGAATTAGGTGGGATTATTTGTGAATCTGAGAAACTGGTTATGCTTGTCTTCTGTAAGTAAGGAGGCGCTGGTTGATGTGTGTGTGGGGGGGGGGGGGGCGGTTGCTGTGAAGGCAGGCAGTCCCACACAGCAGAAGCCAGAAGCATCACTTGATGGTATGATGATTTGGTTGCGAGCTTTGAAGTCAGGCCGGGCCTTGAGCAGATGGTCGGCATCTTCATGCTCGCCGTATATCCGAGGGCCATTGAGAGCTCACAGGCGTGCAGGATTTTCAGTGCACATGCTGATCCCGCGTGAGGGTCTCTGCAGAGTGGGACTCCGTGCATATGAAAGGCAGTGTACAAATTATGCTGCACAATCCCTGGTTCAAAGATGGCATATTTCATTCAGTGGCTTATGGATGAGTACACTTAGGTTTCTCTGCAGAAAATGCTTCAGGGTTCACCATGAGAACATGAATATGTGAGCTGATGTTTGACCCCAGGAGAGAATGCAGAAAATCGATGCAGTTCCTTAGCAACGAGTCTACAGAAAGCAGAATTGGCAGGATTTGCATTGCACCATTCTGTTTATTTTTAAGGTCTATTTTTAAGGTGTTTATGACACTGTTCTCCTGGCCTGGTCTCCTCCTGCCAGTATAGACACAGGTGTGTCCAAATTCTCAGGAACCTGACTACAAAATGACTGCAGTGTAGTAGAAGGGCCATTTAAACCAGGGGTGAGGGAACTACTTCCATGAAAGTATCCAGGATAACCTAGTTGTGGATCATAGATTTGTTGTTTAAGGTCTTTGTAATATGGGCCACGGTGGTCTATGATCTTCCTCCTGACTGTCCCGTCCCCCTCAGGTGCTGGGCAAGGACCATCCAGACGTGGCCAAGCAGCTGAACAACCTGGCCCTGCTGTGTCAGAACCAGGGCAAGTACCAGGAGGTGGAGCACTATTACTGCCGGGCCCTGAAGATCTACGAGTGCAGGCTGGGCCCAGACGACCCCAACGTGGCCAAGACCAAGAACAACCTGGTACGCTCAATACATAGGATCTGTTATATCAGGTCACAACAGGGCCTTGTGTTGGGGGGGGGGGCGAATAAGGTACTTTCCCACCCAAAAATCAGGAACGTAGTGCTGGTTTTAGAACTCACCCCCACCTGTGAATGAGGAGTCTCTTTTCGAACAATCACAGTGGTGCATTTTTGTCGGGCGGATTCTCAGACGACACAGGGGTCCTCCATGAAAGGCACTGTTCCACCATGACCTTAATGCCTCTCTTCACCTGCCAGGCCTCCTGCTATCTGAAGCAGGGGAAGTACAAAGAGGCGGAGATCCTGTATAAAGAGATCCTCACCCGCGCCCATGAGAAGGAGTTCGGATCCGTGGACGGTGAGTCGGGCCGTCCAGGTGTGTGTTTGTGGTTAAGGAGCCGCCTTGCAGCATCTAAATGCAGCTCACACAGTGGTCAGCAAGGTGGTGAATGGGGCTTTTGGACAATTTCACTCCCTTCGGTCTGAATTCTAGTTTAGTGTTGGTGCTGAGAAGAAGCCAGCCTCTTTAATGCTGATTGTATGTATCAGGTTACTCCACTTCAAACCGTCTGGGTAGCTTGCGTTACATATACACATGTATTGATTTTGCCGTGTGTGGCAGAATCCTGCCATGGAGTGAGTGAGACAGAGAATGGAGCCTTTGATGGCCTGTATGTACAGTGACCCTCTGTGTGTACAGTGACCCTCTGTGTGTACAGTGACCCTCTGTGTGTACAGTGACCCTCTGTGTGTACAGTGACCCTCTGTGTGTACAGTGACTCTCTGTGTGTACAGGTGAGAACAAGCCCATCTGGATGCACGCTGAGGAGAGGGAGGAAATGAGCAAAGTGAGTGTGGCAGTGGGATAATCACGCCTTATTCTCCCACTGGTGACCATTCCCCAGTGCCCTCAACGTATCTTTTTACTGGCTTCCAGGGCAAGCACAGAGACAACACCCCGTACGTTGAGTATGGCGGCTGGTACAAGGCATGCAAGGTCAACAGGTGAGAGCCGCGTGTGTGAACCGGCCCTGCCCAGCTGAGGTATGGGCTCAGTGTGCACACTTACTCTGGCCTTGTGACGCCTGGTGACAGATGCATGCTGGGAAGTGTAGTCCCATGCCGCAGACCGGAGCTGTGCAGTTTAGGTAACTGACACATAGTGCCTTGTGCCTCCACAGCCCCACCGTGAACACCACCCTCCGGAACCTGGGGGCCCTGTACCGCCGACAGGGCAAAATGGAGGCCGCGGAGACCCTGGAAGAGTGTGCTTTGCGATCCCGCCGGCAGGTCAGCTCTAGCCCCACCGCGCTCTCTCTCTCACACACACACACACAGACACACACACACACTTTCATTTCTGTTTGTGGGTACTTTTCCTTACAGTCTGACATTTGATTGCTTATCTGAAGCCTACCGTGCTGAAACTGATAAGGTTTTGGTACTTGGAAGTTAGAGAGGCAAATGGCCACTTGCTTATCTCAGACACACACACACACACACACACACACACATATGCAGACAGTCATTGACCCAGGACCATGTGGGCACACAAACTGGCAGTAAGCTCAGAGAGGTGAGGGCAGAGTTTTAATGTTCAAGTTCAGACGCGGTCAGGTGTGACTTGGGTCCTGTTGTGTTGTTTCGGAGCCTGACTTAGCTGATGTCAGCAGTCTGTGCTCTTTGCTGGAGGGTGACTGACCTCACGCTGCCTCTGTCCCTCTGTCTTTCTTGCTTGCTTGGGATCCAGACCAACATGGTAAGTGCTGCTTGGCTGAAGCACTAAACCCGTCATCGTTATACTGGAAATGCCGAACGTCCTGCCGTACCCACAGTAGTAGCCTTGTCCCCTCTGGACGAGTTCTGGGCAAGATGTAACTTTTCCATGCCGCCTTTGTCGTACACCTGTGTGTGTCCTTAGGGCCTTGACCCCGTCAACCAGACGTGCGTGGTGGAGATTCTGAAGGATGGAGAAGGTGAGCGCCGACAGAGCCGCGACAGCATGGCAGGCAGCGTCAAGTACGAGAGCGGCTCAGACGCCGGCGAAGAAGTGAGTATGGGAGTAGAGTGGAATGGGGTGAGTACAATTCCACTTCACTTACAGTGACCTTGGCGGGGACAGTCATGGTGGCTGCTGAGCTGATGGACTGGTATGATTTCCCATAATGCACTTAGGTCACAGAAATAGGCCAAAAACAGGACAGAGCCATAGCTCTAAGCTGAGATGAGGAGATGAGAACGTATCAAAACGTTGATACCTCAAACCATCAGTGCCATGGCCTTATTTTGTTCTTTATTCCTCCCATATACCAGTCCATCATTCTCACTGTCCTCTCTAAGGTCCTCCTGAGAATCCTTTTGGAAAAGTTCAGAGCTGATTGAATGTCCTGGCATTCTTTATTACCTTGGCTTGTTTAGTCTTCGTTCATTCTGTGACTTTGCTTGTTGTGATGCCAGATGCTTTTGTCAAGCTGTTAATGTGCTTCAAAGTGAAGATCCAGAATGTTACGGCTTTCAGCTGGCCATCTTGGAAATTCCCATAGTGGAATCCATTCGATAATTCATAAGCTCTCAGGCAGAATGTGTGTGAAAAGCCCTTTGCAAGGGGACTCACGTGTTCATGGTCCCCTGCGTAAACTTAACGTGAGCTAGAGAACCAGCCAAACCAGCCAAACCCTGCTCGTGCTGGATCTCTGGACAGGAAGTGGAGCCAAGACTCCCATACCAACCACAAAGTAGTTTTAATTCAGGTTATGTCCAACAAATGCCTTCCTATCAAAGATTGAGGGGAGCAATTTTGTGAGCAGATGGGATTGGGATGGAGGTAGAGCAGGCGAAAGGGGCACCTGGAACTGTGAAATGCACACCAGACTGGAGTGATAGCCGTGTTTCCAAGATGACCAGCTTGGGCCCGTCCTTCTGCACCCCAGTCCCAAAAGCATGTGACTGCTGCCTGTTTAATGCTTGCTGCACTCAGGTCTGTGAGTCCTGCTCCACATCACTCATTAACTGCCATCCCCGTGGCCTCTGCGTGTTTCCACCTCATCTCGCTGCACTTTGACATATTTTTGGTCCTTGTTGGGTTTCTATTGTAGCCCCGCTCACTTCAACACCTCTGTCAGATGTTATGCCTTTCCCAGTATAGCTACTTGCCTTTTCAGATATTCAGAGCTTCCGTGTGTTTTGCACAAAGGCAGTCATGGAACATTACGTATTGTAGCTTTTTTGGGTAAGAACATCGGGATTAAAATTGACTATTTGAACTCCTCACCACAAGTCTTAGTCTCATAAATGTTATGGAGTGATGGTTAAAACTGTACCGAATAACACTATGGGGGGGGGGGGGGGGCTGAAAAGCTATGCCTTTAGAGGTTGGGGGTGTGGTCTACAGTGGATGTCTCGGGAAGGAATAGTTCTGGATTTTTCCGGTGCAGCAGTTAAATCATCTGTACTGTCAGTTCTCCTTCCAGCTTATCTTTGTGTGTCAGGCTGTTGAATTCAGATCAGGCTCAACTTTGCTGGAGGTTGTTAGGCGGCACAGCCCTGTAGAGCAGGCTGGATGCATCCCGATGACACACATTTGCATTTGTTTTAAATGACTGCATTTGCATGTGATCCCCCCCCCCCCTGATAGCTGAGGTGGCTCCTTTTCAGCTCTGGTCCTGGCCAGCTGAACTCGCTGGCATTGGTCAGGGCACAAGGGGGGGGTGGAAGCCAGCAGGTACACTGGAGGGAGCACAGTCTCCACACTGGTGGGGTTACGACTCTGTGCCTCAGCAAGAGGCGTTTAGAGTCCTGCCAATGCCTTTGTCACCCATATACTAGCTGTATTCTCTCATAGCTGCCCAAACTGGGCTTGTGTGTGTCTGCGTGTGCGCATGTGCACGTCTGTGTTTGTGATTATATCATTTTCTTTTTTTCTGACTAATTAGGGCTTAACACAAACACACCGAAAGATTTACTACTTCTGAGGGTCCTTTTTCCATCTCTGATTTCCTGTACTGCCTTTTATCCGCGGTGGTTCCCTTTTGTTTTCACTGACTCAGAAAGCAGTAGAAGTACATTTTGGAGTGTCTGCCCGTGATTGGCTGCGCTGCTGTGGTTGCTGAGCCAATCGGAGGCTCGGGTCATTGCTGCATCAGAGAGCCGTGTGGGGGCAGGGCGATGCCCTCGGCTGCAGCTCCCAGTGTCTTGCTTGTCCTCCGGCGGTTCTGTGCATGGGTAATCTGTCTTGTGTTTGTGCCTGCGCCTTCTCTGACAGTGTGCTTGCATGTCTTCTCTCACTAAATTATTTTGTTTCTTGTTCAGTGCTGCTAACCCTCTGTTTAATTTTGCTGTGTTGCCACGACAACCAATCAGCCAATCAGATCTCCTCTCCTCTTCCTTGTGGATTTGTACTCTCCCCTTACGTGCTGTTCTTGTTTACAGCTGAAGGGTTGTGGGCTCGGTGGGGATGGTGGCGGGGTGGGGGGGAATTCTTATTATATATGCTGCTCTGGGGTAATGAGATGAGCTGCTTGCTCTGCCTAAACACCAGTGACTATATAAGAATAACAATATCTGAGGAAGAAAAATACTACGGAAGGACAATATTGAACATACTACCATTTGTAAGGTCACTAAGAATATCTTTACTGAATTATGGTATAAGTTGTAGTTCAATACAAAACACATGTGTACTAATGCATAGGTAGGATTGTAAGGTTGCTGATAGTGTCCGTGGCAACCAGACCTCTTCATTGAGGTCATCATCGGTAACCATGGAGCTGTCTCATAGGCTCTGAGACAATAAACCTTGCAATGTATTCTGGGTAATGTACTCAGGCCAGTATTTACCTTTGTATGTTATATTGTTGGTTTCACTCCTCTTCCCTGGAGCAGCATATAACTTCTGTGCTTCTGAAGATCAAAAGTCTGGCAGCTGCCTCACCCCTGAAAATACGACGAACCCCGTCTGTGACCGTCTGCCGTAGTGGTGCCATAATCGGCCGCTCGGTATCGACTGGTCATTCATGCAGCACCTAAATTCTCTCGTAAGGAATGGGCTGCATCACTTCGACTGACCATGAGGGGGCACTCTTATTGATAAGGCACACAACCAAGCCCCCCAGAGTGGTCCCTAGTTTAATTGGTGGGGTTCAAATACGAGACTGGGAAAGCAGAATAATCTTCTGGGTGTCCCTGTGCCTCTGCCGCTGTAGTAAGGACCCGGCAGCACGTATCTACCTGCTCTCTGCCCGCTGACTACGGAGGGAGGAGCCAAACACCTGCCCCCGCCAGAAGGCCTGGGCATTGTGGTCTCCTAAATGATCAGTGGTGTCACACGTAACCGATCAGCTGACTGATTTCAGGGGTTTGGTCCTGTAGTTTTTAACCTGTGGCCCAGGCAGGTGAAATTCACTGGGGCAGCTGCCGTCTTCAGCACTTTCAAGGCTAGTGTGTCCTCAGTGTTCAGGCTGGTTCGGTGTAGTGTAACACAGCCCCCCGTGCAGGCTTGTCTTCAAGCAGGGGTGGGAGTAATGATCTGGCAGAGATGATGGTCTCTATAAATACCGGTAAAAAGTCTAGGTACTGTAAACCAGTGTCAGAGTGCCAGTAAACTTAGAACTGCTCAAATGCTCGTCAGTTCTTCTTGCTGATCTGCTGGGGAGTGTCTGAATGTGCTAAGCCTGACACTGAGGAACACACCCGTCTGCTTTGTGACTGACCAGCTGCAGGTGTCTGACCCTTTCGTGTTGTTTCTGGATCTTTTTGTCTGAACAGTGCCTTAATTTCACCTCGTTTTGTGTGTCTCTTCTCTCCTTCCTGCCGTAGGCTTAAGTCGCTGCAATTTTTCCCGCCAAATGCTCTGTCCCTCCCCAACAAATAGGGAAATCCGAGGATTTCTCCCGTCGTCCCGTCCGGCTTTATACTCCCATGTGAAACCTTCCTCCGCCATATCCGATGTCTTTTTGGGCGACATCTGCCAGCCTCTCACTGCTTCGTCGAACTCTTAACCGAGTATCGTGGGGACGTGCCGCCTTCAGCCCTGCTTAGCGTCCCTCGTTAGCGCCCTCCTCCCAGGAGCCCCTGCCCCACTTCCACATTCCCTCTTCTCAAATCTCCATCACTAATTAATCCCATCTTCCTCACATTCATTATGTGCTGCATTGTTTGTATGTTGGTGACTGAGCTGGTGATGTCAAAGGGAGCAGGGAATGCTGGGAAGGTGGGCGCCTAGGCCCCCGGGGCACGTCTGCCCACGTGACCCACGCCTTCGCACCCCCCTTCCCTTGGTTCCGTAGTACCAACGGTCATCCCTAGGGCTCTGAGGATGGCTGAGTTTCACGATTCCCCTCAGACCCGGGCAGTACCCCCCCGAGACACCCCTGGCACCTTCCATGCTCTAATTGCATCGTTAGTAGTTGGAGGAAACCAGCTGATCCCACTTGCAGCAACCAAATAACCACAACTAAATACAATCTCTTTGCTCGGGTGCCAGTAATCGGCCATCTTGTTTCAGAAAGTCTGATTTCTCTAATATATACGGTTGTTTGTAAAAAAAATAAAATTTGGATGAAGTTTTATGCGCACTGCCGTTCCAACACACACACACACCCCCCGCTCGGGGTCCCAGATCCACACACTTCATGTTTTCCTGTTAACTGCATGTTGCTGTGCTTCTTCTTCGAAAGGGAGGACATACAGGACAGAGATGGGTAGCTAGCTGTCGTCTTGGACGTTATCTTGTTTTATTAATATTTTTTTTAATTTAGAGTTTTCTAATTCATTTTAGGTTTCATAATTTTTGTAATGCTTGGGGATGTTTAAGAATTATGAATTAATGTAGATTGGGATGGGTGTTGTATTAGGGCAGGTCGTACTGACATGGGGGGCTGATCGACGCGGTTAGCATGCTAAAGACGCCGTCTGGGTTTGCCAGTGTTGCCCTGCTTTGGAGCGAGGCGTGCTCTAATCGCGCTTCATCTGTTAAAGCGTGGGTGGACCTGTCTGTCCCCTCCCCAAGCTTCGAGCAATGCCCATGTTTACAAAGAAACATTGTATATGTATTAAAAAGGAAAAGCCTGCAGTGAAAGGGAGGGGGGCAGCCACACCCCTGAGGGGCCCCCCCTCCCCATCGCGAGGGTTCAGTGCGTGATGGAAAACAGCGGATGAAGTGACCCAGGTGGCACAGGAATAGAAACGTAGCTGTCAGGCGGGCATGGGGGAGGGCTGGGTCTGTTTTTATACTTTAAAATCTGTCACTATCATGCTTCCCAACCCCACAAACTCTACTAGGCATGTGCAGCCTCGTGTTCCGGATCATTGCGCCTCCTGGTGGTTTTTCTGTGCACGTGTCACGTCCGATAGGCAGTCTGATATTTATGACAGGTATTCATATTTAAGTGTTAAGTTATTTGAATGTAATATTTGAATAATATGCTTAAGCCTGGTTATATATATCGTATTATGGATTTAAGGTGTGTGCACATTCTTAAAGCCTCCCCCCTCCCCACCCCCATGTAGTACATATCGGCGTCAGAAAGCAAAGGGGAAGTCAGAAGCTGAATAAACACACAGCTCTTGTCGACACCGCAGTGTGTTCGTGTGCGTGCTGTGTGTAGTGGAATGCCTATTATTTATTGAGCTATTGAACTGTAAACCTTGTTTCTAGATCAGTATGAAAAGGCTCTGTGAAAGCTCAGTAGATTCCATGTTAGCACGCCACATACCGTCGCCATTTTGCATTGTGATCAATGTTACTCCACCACTGTTGACATTCTTAAATAAAGATTTCCATTTGTGAGGTTGGGAGTGGTTTTCTTGTGCACGCTCTTGTGTTCAGTCCCAGAGGTAAGTTTCCGGCACAGCGCCCCCTACAGCCCGACCTGTGGCATTACAAGGCTGCCAGTTGTCGCTAATGCGGGCCTGGCTCTGCCAGGCAGCCCCTGTTCCGCTTCGCTGCACGGCCCTAATGCCCGCCTGCTGCCTGCTCTCTGCCCCACCATCTGCCAGGGTGATCTCCCCAGCAGGGCTGGCAAAGGTCGGTGAATTTAGATGGTCAGCAGCATAAATAACATTTCACATAAACCTGTGGTTAATTCACTGATTCATAAATGACCAACCACATGCCATCCTGGAAAGAAACAGGGAGAGGGATTTATGGCCTTGCATGCGGCGTAGGACTGGCCTAGTTTCTGTTCCCTGGTGTTTTTGGAGTTCTGATGTCCCGGGTGAATAACCAACTGCTAAGCCCTTCAGGACTGCCATTTGAGAGCTGTGCACCAAGAATGGCTATTTAAGCTCCTAACATAATGCTTAGGCATGATTAGCCGATGGCCGATGCCTCTGGCAGAATCATAAGGAGCTCTGGAAGTGTGTTTGGGAGGTTGCATCTCTTTTCTTTTCACTGTGCTTATAGTCACACTATCTCAGGCACACCCATGAGCAATTCATGCACCAGCCATTTCTGTACTCATGGCCTCTATAGTGCCAAGCACATGTTTATCAGTGATGAAGGGGTTGATTGCTTATGCCTGGCTTTTCTTACACCTGCACTGGTACAGATGACATCATCCACATTTTGCCGTGGAAACTGCTGTCAAAGAAGTGATTCTGAGAATCTCAAAGGGATACAAGGTTCAGTGTCAGAAGTAATAATACACCATCCTTGTGTCTGTGTTCCGATTACCAAAAACATTAACAAATAATCTATATTTTAATGCAGTATTCCATCTTGAAGTATTTCCATTATTTATAATGATAAAATGGTGTTTAAAGGCTTAGACTGTCTGATTTGTGTGAGAATCCTTTCTGTGTACGCTCATTAAGAAACACTCCCTCAAAGGCTCACAGTTCCCTCTGGTGGACATTTTGGTCAACTACAATTTTTCCATCATGTGTAGGAATGCTTAGGAAATTTTTGCTCCCTCTACTGGGCAGCGTGGTCCTCAGCAGCCCTGGCACTGGATAAAATTGCGGTCGGTGCAGCATTGACACGTCTAATGCATTGGTGTAAACATTGTGCAATTCAAAACAAACCTCACATGATTTTATTGAACTTATCACAACAGCAAGTAGAATCAAGTTTCATATTTGAATGTCATGTAAGATATTACAGAATTTAGGCTGGTTGTTCAAAACTAAATACAAGGAAGTATGCAGTGCAGTTCACTGGTAATTCCCTGGAATGAGTCAGGGTATATCAACGGTGGTGTTCTCTGCTCTTCTAGAAATATGAGCTGGGGGCAAACAGGTGTATGCTGGTCCTGGTGCTCTGATTAATCCTTCACCTGAATCGTCGCAATATCACAACTAGCTGACTAGACGAACGTTATGGAACTTCGCTTGAAGACATTCACAGAACAATCAGTTGAAATGCACGTTTCGTTTCGTCCCTGCAGCGAGGGTAAAGGATGCGGGGGCTTGCAGCCAGCTGTTTGGCAGGGAGGGGCACGCCCTTTAATTCTAAGTCTGCATGCTATGAAAATGTATATGCAACCCAGACAACTGCCTGCATTTATGAGCCTATGAATACCCACTTAGACATAGGCACCGCATTTACCACAAGGCTTAAGCGGGGGCCACTGAAGATGTGGGGGGTCTTGTTTGTTCATAGAATATGTTTTTGTCTCTGCGGTCTGACAGATCTAATTTTGTGACAGAACTAACGAGTGTGGCGAACTCTAAAGGTTCACAGTTCGAAATCCACAACAAACAAAGGCGAGGTTGTGGTGAGGGCTGGGGGATGCGGATACAAACAAGGTCATTGACTGGAAGTCCATTCAGATAAACCTTCTGTTACACAGAGAGAAAGCAGACCCCCCCCCCCCACGACTGCCACATGGCTGACAAGACAAATCTATGTCTCTGTGCTCGAAAAACACACCACAGGGATTGTTCCTCTAAATTTATGACCACAGTAGTCATGGGCAGACCTGAAGCGATTCTAAATTAATGTATGATGTCTACCTGTGTTAGACCAATTGGAAGCAGTTGAAACAGGTGAGTGATTAACAGAGCAGAAGAATCCCACCAAGCCTGAGGTTTTCCACCTCATTTATGTCATCAACAGTCAAAATACGGTTAAGCGACACGTGCCGCTGATTTACGATCAGACGTGGAGGGCGACACCTCAGCAGAATGAACAGCAGCCTGTGGTCATCCGCAGTCACATGCCGGCACTGCGGGGTCAGAGGTCAGAGGTCAGAGGTCAATGGGCGGCCGGTCTGACCCATGGGGCTCTACCCGCAGGATGGCAGTGGGGCCCTGAGGCGCAGCGGCTCGCTGGGGAAGCTGCGGGACGTGCTGCGCAGGAGCAGCGAGATGCTGGTGAAGAAGCTGCAAGTAAACCTGCAGCCTGAAATGCAGAGCAGGTGAGGTGGGGTGACGGAGCGTGGCGGCTGGGGGGGGGGGGGGGGGGGTCACAATTTCCAGTAGCACTGTAAAACAGAAAAGCTATTAAGGCTCACGGCAACCAGGAGAGATTTAGCCGCAGAACGTCTGGTGGCCAGCAGGTGGCATTATGGTTAAGGACATGTACCCAACAGGTTGTTGCTTTTGAGAACGGGCCCAGTCATTGTACCCTTATGCTAATGTGCTTCAACAGCCATCCAGTGTTACTTTGCATAAAAAGTGCCTTTAATAAAGAAATGGGCCGTTCTACTCTGAGAAACACAAGTGCTGCTTAATTCTATTCTCCTGGGTTGTATCCAGCAAAGTGACAGTGCGCGAGGTACAGGGGGCAGGCCCAGGATACTGGCTAAACCTGCAGAGCCGCATGTGAAGGCTGGCTTGTTCTGACAGGTTGCTTGTCTCCCATCCCCCAGCATGAAACGGGCAAACTCTCTGAACTTCTTGAATACCAGTGATGACTCCTTTCAGGTGAGGCCCCTGGGGGGTGGGCTTTACTGCAGGAGGTACGCAGATGAGTCACTGTATGGCATCCTCATTAACACTGTCAGTCTGTGACTCTCCATGACTCAGTGACCAAGGTCTTTGACTCGGACTCTGTCTATGACTCACATGTTGCCCCTCGTGAGTTTCTGGGGCCGCATAGCTAGGACTCATTGATGCTGAGTTTCCGGCATTCAAGTAACTGGCACAATTCTAATACATTTTATAATTTTTGTAAAGTAATACAACTATTTTACCAAAACACCTTTTACACTAAAAAAAATGAAGCAGTGCATTGTGCAGTTCATAAGCAGTTTCCTACGCCTACCTGCGGAGCAGCACACTTTAGTCATCTTTCTGCTAATTCTATTATTGTTTTCCTCTCATGTTCTTTCAAATATCTGACTCAAAATAATGATATAATAATCATTATTATGTATGTGTGTGTATATAGGAGGATTAAAGTAAGTGTTGGAAATGTGTCACTAGTGTTTTTCACAAGTAACGTTCCCCCATCTGGAAAGTTCACCCACCCGGCAGTGCCTGGACCCCCAGCGTTGCTGGACACGCCGGCTTTTAATGTCACTCGCATTGAGCTGTGGCCGCGTCTCGCTCTTCGCAGGGCCCTGAGCCGGGGAGGCTGAGACAGAGCCGCGGTTTGAGCTCCAGCAACGTCGATCTCTACAGCGGGAAATAAACAGGCCCAGCGTCAGATGCCTGTACCCCCACGTCCTCCTGACCCTTGACCCTTGACCCTCGACCCCTGTCTCAGGACCTGTGGGCCCCCTCCTCACTCTGCAAACTGCTGCCCTGGGGGGACGTCCCAGTCCATGGCAGCCCCATTGTTTGTTTTTGAACCCTGCAGTGAAGCCTCATCTCTTTTGGATGCACGCCTCGTTTTTTTTCTTGTGACTGTTTACACAGTGGAGGTGAGATCCTTCACCGAAGCTCCGGTTGCACCATGAGACGGCGGTGGTGGTTGGGCAGGGGAGAGCAGAAGCTGCGTGAATAGGGTGCCGATTCAGCCAGCTTGTCGTCACCATTGTCAGCAGTGTCCTGTTCCGGTCCAGTCCGCTGGATCTGGGCCGGCAGGCGCGAGCTGTTGACCTTGATGCTGTAGCCAATCAGCTTTGCTTTTCAGCAGATTTCCCATGTTCCTCTGGTGCTGCTTTCTTCCTGTATCCTCCTGTGCCTCCCACGCGCCGTGATTATTATTTTTTTTCTCTATTTACTCCCGTCTCCATCCTATACGCTTGTGTTTGCGGTCAGGAAGTGACATCACTGGAAAAATGTACCTAGATAATAGATGTATCTAGATTTTTTAGAAATCATGTTTTTTTGTTTTTTTTTTGTAATTCCTGTGTTCACTATGGGACAAGCAAGTGACAGTGACACAGAACTTTGCACATGATCCGAGTGACGTACCCAAGCCATTTATGCCTAGCCGTGTCACTTTATGGTTGTCCAATAATTTTCTTTCCTACTTGCCGTTGTTTCTTTGCAGTTGTGAAAAATTAGGTTTCTCCGGCAATCTGCAGCAGGCTAAGTGTGTATTGTATGCATACGTCTTTGGGATCTGTCTGATGCTCGCAGAACAGTGCTTGGATTTGAGCTTATGGCCCAACATTTTTCTTATTTTTACTCCTTTTCCTTTCAGCTTTTATCCAAATCAGGGGCATTGGTGATCCCAGCTGGCAGATAAGGTCCGGCTTCTTTGAGCTTTAATCGTCTGACAGTGTCTCAGTGGCACTTTACCGTTGTGTGCAGACTCCCACATACCGGCCCCGATCTGGGTTGAGAACCCAGCGGCTTACGGCTGCGGCCCAGTGGGAGAGATGTTATAATGCAGATTATCACATAGAAAAGGCACATTTTAATGCCAAGACTTCATCATGTTCTGTGATGTATAAGTGCTCTCGTCCAGGCTGCCCCCTAACCTGTGCTCTTAGAGGGATTGCAATCTCCCCGGGACCCTGTGGGGCAGTGTTTCCCAATCCGGTCCTCGGGGACCCACACCGGGAGCTGGGGGGGAGCAAAAATGTGGACTGCTGTGGGTCCCCAAGGGCCACACTTGGGAAGCACTGCTATAGTGAATAAGCAGGTATGAATGGATGGATGTACCAGCTGTTTTCAGCCCTGGTCCTGCACTTCATTCCACTCAGCTCCTACACTTCAGTATAGAATATTCTATTTAACAAGGCTGACTGTGTCAGTTAAGAATGCAGTGCATAGTAAGACATATTAAGATGTTTTTAATCATTTTTACCCATAATAATAAAAGAACAAAACCATTGCCCTACTGGCTGGTTGATTTAAATTAATATAAAAAAAATACACAATTTTATGTTTGATTAAATAAAATGAACAAAGATAAATTCAGCTTTTTTTCCTCAATTACTATAAGGTACATGTATGAGTTCAGTCATGCAGCTAATTTAATAAACAGGATATTTTTGGACTTAACACGAGCTGGAATGAAGCCGATTCACGGTGCACCTTCAGAGCCAGATGCAAACCGCAGCTCAGTACTGCCAGGTCCATGTGACTCTATACTTACCTTTTTAAGCAATAAGCAAACTTCAGCATTATTATAAATATCCAGTGGTGAGTGCTGTGAAAACAGGCATCATCTTTGACACAATTATCCTGTTGGTTTATGGCTGTGTAATCTCTTAACTGGTCTGGGATCAGCAGCTGCTGAGTCCCGTTGGTGTCATCAGTACCATAGCAAGACACTGTGGTTCCTCCCATGGAATGAGAAAACCCAGGAAACCAGGGGGGTAACAAGCCGGTCGCCCAGTACACCCCCCCCCCCTCGCTGATGGTGAAAAAACTCCACAGGCCACCTCTGTTAATTGAGTTCTGCCCATTTGGAGCTCAGTATGATCAGGGTTCAGGGGCAAAAGGGCTACTTACGGGTTTATTTTAGGCACGTTTACATGGTCATGATCATAGAAGCCGCGCACAATGGACCCGTCACTAGTATATCCAAGGTGAGACCACATACTGTGACCCCAAAGGTCACATCTTGGAACTGGGACACAATGTTAAAATACTGGAATGTGATTTTTTTTTGCACAGTTGTCAAAAGCTTTTTTCTTTCTTGATGGATATCAGGACTGCTGATAAGGCTGAGCTGCTTTGTGTAATGAGATGAAACATATGACTATTCTGTTCTTGTTCTTGTTCGTTCTAATGTTTTATTCTTACATAGGTACTGATCCGTAACTTGTTTTTCCAGATTATTCTGTAGTGGTGGTCGGATTTCTGATTTGTTTAGGCACCATTTCTTCTACGGTTCCTTCCAGTCGACTTTCGTTTAATCGTCATAAGCAAACGTGTCAAAAAATTGTCTGTTGTCCTTCATCGATTGGAGGGTTGGAGTGAGATAGGTGCCAGCTTTTTTCTTTTTTTGAAATCGCTGCTCTCTAAATGTAGGGTGTGGTAGCCATGGAAACCAAGCCATCACAACCTCCAGGTTATGTCCTGCAACATCCCAGTCCTCCACGATTTACTGAGGACGACAGCTAGGGGGCGCTACCCGTGAAGGTTGTGTTTCACACTAAATAAAGGATAAACCTGAATTCAGTCTTGATCCCTCGTTATTCATCCACATTTCAGAGAAAAGCAAGGTGTTACAGCGACGAAGCATAATAAATTTTGATTGAAGATCGTTATCAAGGAAGCACCTGGTGACGAAAACTACATTTTGTGCGACTGATTTCCATTTATCTCCAGCTCAAACTGGAGAGGAAAGGACTGCAGGCTTATGTGGCTCGTATTGAGTGTTGGAATTTGGATATCCTTTCATAATCTCCAGAGGTCTGTTGCTCTGTGTGATATTGTTTCTCCTACCTTCTCATCATTTATGGATCCTTCCCATGGACCTCCTAAGGCGTGCTGGGCCATGATGGAGTGGAAGCTGTGACCTCAAGTCAAGGTCTCAAACAAAACCATCCATCAGAACATGCAAAAGAAGCATCTGTGATGTAGGCATGAGCTCAGGGCTGCCACCGTGCCGATAAAACCACAGCAATGATGGAGTAAATCAACCATTACTTTAAGGGTGCTGCTTTCACCGTTGACTGAGTAACCCCCATGCATTACTGAGCTCCTGACTCTTAATTGCCTGTCACTCTGTGCACCGAAGACACCCCAAGCAGCCCCCGCCACCTCGAACGCCATCATGGGAGATAAGATGTAAAATATGTCCAAGCCGATCATCGTCTAGTAATCGTTGCCATGGAAACACTACTCCCTGGCCACTGGTGCACCCGTGTACGTGTAAGGCGATGCGGTGGGAAATCTGGCTTTCACAGTTAATTAGTCACTGGCAATAAATGATCTTGTTGGCAAAGGCTTTGGGACGGCAGGCCAGCCGGCTACTCAGTCAGCAAGGCTTCCTCCGTTTGGCCCTGACGCCCATTGCGATTCTGGGGGTGTCTCTCTGCCAAGGTGCCTCTTACCCTCTGCTGGAGTGGAAGATGAAGTTTGTATCCACTTTCCTAGAAATCCCTCTAGGCAAAACTGGGCTTAGTGACCCAGCATCTCCCATTCAAGGTTCATCCCATAGTGCACTCGCCTTGACTCTTCCAACGGGACGGCTACAGGAGGTGATTTTCCCCAGCAAATCGCTTCATTAGCAGATGGGATGTGACAGAGTGCCTTGCTTAATTAAATATGCGGACATAAGCTTGCGTCTTATAGCTGCAAAGCGCCACTCTTCGTGGTACTTGGCTATTCTCTCAGATGTCCCTCTCCCTCTTTGATTTCTGGCTCTCAGTGAGTCCCAAAGAGCTTGTATGATGTAATACCTTTTTAAAGACTTCAAAGTGGTTCCCCACTAGGCTGAGTTTAAAAGCATGATATAGCCACCTCAGCGAACTGGAACCTTTTAAAATTCAATAAAAATAAGTTATGTAAAGGCTCTGACCTAAAATATTTGTCTGGAAAAGGATCAGAACACAATGTTTATTTTCATTTAATGCTCTCTTGTGTTTGAGCTAAATGATATCATTATGCAGTGCTGTGAAAGTCTCTGATCATGCTTTTCAGACGTTTTGGCTAACCAAGCTGCATGCCGAAGCCACCAGTAAAGATTATTGTTTGCTGAAATAGATGTTCTTGCTCTTAGGATGAACACAGTTTGCATCATCCTCACTCTCTGCCATATATAGGTGTGGAATGCTTGTGGTCCAATTATCCAGACGACTTATGCATAACTAACAAGCTGGGAAGCAGAAGCTAATTCTGAAGCAAGGTTCTGAAACACTGAGTACGGTAGTAGGCCTATATGCTGCGTTACACACACAATCATAACAAAAAACTTGCCTGCAATATTTGCCGCATAAATCGGCAATGTCAATATACAACATCTATAGGTTACCTTGAAGTCTATACTACATCATTCTAGCCTACCCTTCTAGTAAGTTGAATAGCTATACATAATTATATTATATCCATAAGCTCAATGGCTAAACATGTTTCAATGCATGACACATTTATGTGCATTTTATACAATATCATATTCTAGCAATTCCGCTAACGATTTCAAAGGTACAATAATAAGGACGCCTCCACAGACTGAAACCTGCGACAGTTTGCCCCAAGCTGAGGTCGTTACAGGCGCCGCCCAGCTGGACGTGCTGCCATCCCACACATCTGAAAGGTCCAACGGTGGCAGATGGAGAAGCCCCGATGTCCTCTCACGTGGGGTCGCTAATACGGGCGGAAAACCCGAAGATATTCATTATGAGTCCGGGAATGGAAATTCACAAGGATCAGCGATTAAAGGGGATCGACAGCTCGCTTTCAGAAGCTGCAAATTGCCGTAATACATCTAGGGCTTTTCAAACGTTATGTGTAAGCTGTTCATGAATGCTCAGAGTAAAGGCTCATGAATCAGTGGTGAGGCAATGGATTTTGCCACATGAATTGAAACATTATTCCCGATTTACCCCAATCTGAAGTCTTGTACATTCGTCATGGCATTTGCCAAGTCAGCATGTTGGCAAGGACTCATTCAGAAAATCTGATCAACATTTGGACTTAGCTTTGAAGATTCTCCCTAAACGTTTCTTTCATTTTAGCAAATTATTTCAACGTGTTTACTGGGCCCTGATGCATTGGGTCAAAGAACATCGTGGTTTTGTGGTGAGCTGCGTTGACCACATATGTGGTTCCGACTTGAACTTACAGAATATACAATAAGCTCAGCTTTCCCCGTTTATGTGCACAGAAATTAATATCCCATTTAAATTCCGTATGATACTGATTAAATGTGATTTTTATATAGAAAAATATATAACCCTGAATGATATTCAGAATCGGTCGTTTTATTTGATGCACAATGTTAAATGATGGAAAAAGTTGAATATCTCGCAGTACGTTATAGAAATGCGCCGCTGTGCGCTCGGGTGCCTGGGCTGAACCCGAAAGGTAACAGTCTCGTCTCGTCGCCAGAAGGTTGCAGCAGTGCTCCGTCTCTCCATCTATCCACCTAGTGCGCCCTGAGCACCGGAAACGCCGAAAAGAGGAGTGGAAGGAGGGAGGGAGTGAGGGAGAAAGAAAGGAGAGAGAGATCGGTGTGTGAAAGTCGTGTGGTGGTTCGCGGGAGTGAATTAGTCGGCAGGCTGGGAGTCTTTGGAGCGGGTCCTGGTGCGGAGACGGAGTCACTCTGAGCGCTCGGATTATCATTATACATTATACTGGCCAAGGAGGAAACCGTACTTGGAGAAATGAACGTGGAATAGCGCTTGTCCCCATATTTTAACACCAAACTCCACAGGCTGTGGGTGAATCGCTATAGAAACCAACGTTTGTTGTCTCGGACTCGTCCCGGAGATCAGACACCGGGGACTTTTTTATACTTCCGCGCCTTGATCATAGGCTGTCGCGCAGAGTAAGCCCTCCCCCTTCCCCGGTGACCGACGCCGGATCTCGGTGTTTTAACACTCTGGGAAAGACTTGGTCGCAGGCATGGAGCTGCTGCGGAAGCGACGCAGAGAGCGGCGGGAGCGCTACAGAAACTCCGGCAGCTCCAGCGGCAGGACGGTGCGCTACCTGCCCGCTCCGGCGACTGTTCTCCTCCTAGTCGGCGTACTCTGCACTGAAGGTAAGCGGGCGCAAACTATCAAATAAACACAAACAACCATCCGTAATATACTGTATTTTCCCCCGGACGGCACAGTTAGAGGCGATCGGTTTAAAGAGGGACATGCGCTTTAGATGCGCTTGTTCCGCTGACCAGACACGGTGAGCCAGCCGGCTAATGAGCAGCCCAGCCAAGCCCGGCGCCGTGCCCCGATTCGGGGGGCAGTTTTGTGTCGTGAGGGCCCCGTTCCAAGTACCTTCACATAACGCATCTATGATCAGAAGCACCTCGAGGAACTGCTTGGCAACTTTACGCTGTTAATGAATATGGAAGTTACACAATCGGAATCCATCCCGAAACACTCAAATGTAACTTTCCCCCCACTGTTTCCATTTTGTATTTTCTTTACTATAACGGGTTCATGCGAACATCTTTAAGATGAGCTACGACAAACTATGCGTCTCTGAGAGAAACGCAGATCGGTGACACACATGTGCGTCCCTGCTTTGCACCCCCTCACCCCTTGTACATGACACCTCGAATTATGACGTGTCTGTAAAGCGCTATTCCTGTGGTTTTCTCATCACGCAGCATCACGGGTGTTTAAGGTTAGAAAGCATTAATATTTGGCTTTGGAACTGATATCGATGCGATGACATGCCCATGCTCAGAACGACGGAATCCTGAGTTTTGAAAACGCACTTTAAGCCATTTTACATCAAACGGCAGAAGTTAGCTGAATGTGAATGCTGCACTTTTGTATTAAGTATAAAGTGACGTCAGTGAAAGTTTATGCGTTGGGGCTTGGGGAGCACGAACAAATCGGTGTTTTTTTCGGTACTCCCGGAAAGTTTGCACGACAGTGTATGCAGAGTGGAAGACGATAACAGGAAGGTTATCATAGTCTGCTGCCGACAGCCAGGCGGCCAGCTCATGGCTAGTCCCCTGGCACGGGATGGACAGCAGTACCTGACTGAAAAGCTCACCTGGTCGGTCAGCTGAGCTGTACGCATTCCGTCCATAGTGTGGCGCAGTCCCGGCTTACGGGAAACTAGACACGATACAGTTGTGGAAGCTGAGTAAGGTGAAAATGAACCACAAAGTGGGCTCTAGTATTTTATTTTCTGTGTGCAGAAGTTTAAAATAAATTGCTTTAGGTTGTAACACTGAAGACGCATCCGATAGGTGAGCTGTTATCGCGGGAGGCACAAAACCAGAATGTGGCAGAAGTATCTCTTTTGTGGTGTTTTTGGTATTTTGGAGAGAGGACGGCAATGGCTATGCAGTCTCGAGGGACTTGGTACCATATGTTTGTTTTTTTTTTTTTTTTTTTTTTTTTTTTAAAGTAATAGTACCTCTAACCTCTTGCCTGGTGCAGGGTTTCGGCGGCACAGGACACGGAGCAGACTAATAATTAATCAAATCTTTGGGCAGTGCCTGTGTCTGCGCGTGCGCATGCACGTGTGTCTGTTGGCGTGTGTGTCTGCGCGC